TTTTGGCCCTGCTGCATCTTTCTGCCTCTCTGCTGTTGGGAGCCTTCAACATCAGGTCATTTGGAGACAAGAAGTCCTCCAACACAACTCTGATGAACATCATTAGCACGGTCTGAAACTATTTTACATCCAGCATTCCTTTTTTCTTATCTCATCACAAATAACCACATTTGAAAGATTGAGACAATATATTTTGGGTACTGAATGTGGCACAATGTTTAGCCTACACCTGGCAGTAAGTTGGGATAGCACATTAGAAATATAAGAATGGCATTACATTTAGTGTGAAAACTGTATTGTTCAGATGGATTAAAGGGGCACTCCAGTAATTTTAGTATTCCACACCCATAAAGATGGGGGACTGGGAAAGAAGCACTACTTGAATTTTAGGACTTGTGTGGGTCAAGCGCCATATACTGGAACCTACATTTCCCATAATGCAATCATCAGCATTTCTTAATGTCTCTTTCAGAGGCTGAGTAGTATGTTTATTGACCAGCAGACCCTTTACTCCATAGAATAATGAACACAGATTATGTGATTAGAAAAACAGAAGTTTTGTTAGTTTACCTAGTTTGTTAAACGAGAGCTATACTTCAGTATCCTAGGCTAGAAATCGGCCACTATATACACACACATTAAAAATATACACTAATCCACCAGAACTTTAATCGGATGTGTGTTGTTTTGTGTTTTTGCTTTTCAGATTGTCCACCGCTATGACATCATTCTGATCCAGGAAGTCAGAGACTGCGATCTGTCAGCAACCAAAAGACTCATGCAGCATATCAACAAGTTAAAACAGACAACACACTCGTAGTATTATTACACACAGAATATCATAACATGGCCAACAGTTTATAAACTCTTAATATGATATGGCATAAATTGTGCTCTCATCTGTGTGTTTTCCCAGCGCTTCACCTCAGTTCAGGTACAGCCACATTGTCAGTGAGCCCCTGGGTCGCAGCTCCTATAAGGAGAGATACCTCTTCCTCTACAGGTACACAGAGAGGCAAAAAACAAAGCCATTGCATCAGTAAAGCTTTAAGTCACTCTGCAGCGCCTTTGTCCAATGAAAACTACAGGACCGTATGTAAAAATAGCCATACAACCTTGTTAAATCACTCCATTTCAAGTTAGTCCTGCATTTTAAAAGTAGGCTACTTACTCATACATTAGATTATTATTGCTGATACATATAAATGTGAGAAGTGTTTTAATGTTGTAGCTGGTCGTGGTGGAGCTAATGTCCAAGTTTGTTGTGTGTGCAGGCAGGAACAGATTTTAGGACCCAAATGCAGGACAAGCAGGAGGGACAGATACAGCCTAATTCAGAATTTATTAACAAAAAGGGAAGAAGCCAAACTTACGGCTGAGTCCAACAAATACAACAAGGTAATCTATAAATAGGGGTTTATCTTCTGCAGAGAAGCAAAAACAAAGTCCAAAACAACAAATAATCCAAGGTGTAACAGAACAAAGGGTAACTCCAACAAATGTGGCAGTTAAACACACGGCAGGGGATGAACATACAACGAACAGAAGAAGAACAGAACACACAACAAGCAATACACAAAACAACCACAAACACAATCAGACAGAACAAACACAGATAAAATATGGAAACAGACTGAAACCAGAATCACAGAACAAAACTGACATTAAACAGGCAGGGGAAAAACAACTAACAAACTAACTAACACCGGGCATACTGAACCCAAGACAACAGACGAAGCTGAAACCCAAAACACAGACTAAATAACAGATCCAGAACAAACTAAAATAACAAAACTGAAAATTAACTAAACAGAGCAGACAGGCACACAGTGTGCACACTGTCTGGCACTTTAATCTATACCAATGGATCATTTATTATAACGTAATATGTTTTGTATCTTAATCTGAAGTAACCAGTAACTGTAGCCATCAGACATACTGTATACAGTGGAAACTGCTTGATCACAGTTACAGTGATCAAATATTTATATGGACGAAAAAGCAGAATAATTCCTGTACAAATGCTGTTTAAATGTTTCTCTTATAGTAATCAAGTAGTCGACTTACAGTGTTCATTTTGGGTTGTTTCATTCATGACAACATGAACAACAACAACAAAAAAATCTGAATATTTGTTTTCAAACTCTGCCACCAGATGTGGTCAAGTCTTATCTTTCCTCTCCAGGGAGCAGACGGTGTCCATGGCTAAAAACTACACCTACGATGACGGCTGTGAGCCCTGTGGGACAGACACCTTTAACAGAGAGCCCTTCGTCGTCATGTTCTCCTCCAAAAATACTGGTAAGAGTGTTACTGCTTACAGCAGAGATGTAGATTAATTCATTAGGTGATAAACTGAGAACTAAACCAGATACACATCATAAAGTAAATAAATAAATAGAAGACATAAATACATATAACATAAAATACATGTTATCAACATACAGTAAAGTAACAATGAGATATAGAGTACTCTGTTTACATTTGTCCTGTATTAGAGTATTCATGCAACAGTAAGTAGCCCTACAGTGCCCTCAGATATCTGTTTGATTTGGCCCTCCTAGGGAAAGTGTTCCTCCACCCTGATGGCAGAAGTCAAAACTCTGCTAGAAGAGGGTTGAGGATCCGCCAGAATGGCCTTTGCCTTCTGAGCGGCTCTAACTTGATAAACATGGCCAAGATCATTCAAGTGCATGGCCCACCTCATGGTCCATGCAGAGTTCATGAAGTCTGTTGGTAACTCTATATTTTAATTCTACTTACAACAATAGAGGATTTATTTATGTCAGTCATACAGCGCGTTAACCCTGTCCTGCTGAATTTAAAAGACAGAAAGCTCACCATTTGTTACATGATGTACGTCTGCCATAACCAAAACTCTCAACTTGTCTCTTCTCCGCATTTCTCGCTTCATTCACTCCTTCCTCCCTCCTGTTTTCCAGCTGTGAAGAACTTTGTTCTGATCCCCCAGCACACATCTCCAGACTTCGCAGTGAAGGAAGTGAACGCTCTCTACGATGTGGTGGCAGATGTTCGCACCCGCTGGAACACCAATGTAAATATCCTCTTCAGCGCCTCAAACACAGCCACACACAAAATCCATTATGTAGAGGCACTGTATGACAAAAAAGGTGGAGTGCAAAGGATAATTCATTTGGTAAAACATGAGAAGGGGATGAGAGAGGTTGAACCATTCCACTCTCCCTGCAGGACATCGTGCTGCTGGGCGACTTCAACGCAGGCTGCAGTTATGTGACGGGCTCAGAATGGCAGCAGATCCGCCTCTTCACCGACAAGAGTTTCCACTGGCTGATCACCAACGAGGCCGACTCCACAGTGTCACACACTAAGTGCCCATACGACAGGTAGACACACCTCAAACCCAAGCCTTTAAACTTGTGGGGTCCAGCATTTTGGTCCCCACAAAGCTGTTGGAACGCACAGGTATGGTGGGCTCCCAGTTTTTGGGCCCCACGGAAATAGTAAAACAAGCTCACCCACACCCAATTAATTCCACCCCTCTTCCTGTATTTGCAGGATTGTGGTCACTACAGACATGGTGAGGGGAGTGGTGCACGGCAGTGCTCGGGTCTACGACTACATGATGGACTTGAATCTTAGCCAGAATCTGGTAAAAACTTTAATTCTCCTCTAAAATATATATAATTCACTTGAAAAAAAAAAGGGTATTTTAAGAGCATCTTAACACAAGATCCTGTTTTTGCTTGCAAGCAGTGACGTAGAAGTGTAGTCGGTGCACGGTTGGTGCACAATGACATCACTGTAACAAGAAGGTGTCAGTGAAAAACTACTTTCTGAATCGATTTTTTGGGGTATTTTCTGCATACTGTATTTGACATACCAAATATTTTTCTGGCAAAAAACGCTGATTTGCTTTCTGGTGGAGAGTTAGCTAAGAAGACTGACACCACTAGCATTTCTGTTCAGTCAATATGAAGCTACTGCAAGCAGCCTTTTAGCTTAGCTTAGCACAAACACTAGAAACAGTCTGGAAACAACTATGTCCGCCGACTACAACCTCTAAAACACTTAACTCTAAACAAGTTAAATCTAGTTTGTGTAAAGTGTAGGAAAAGTGTTTCTTGCTTCTGAGCAGTTGTCAAATGTCAATTTAGCATTTATTGTTCTTTGTTAACTCTTTGTTAAAAAAAAAAAAACATGCTTAAGCAGGCTACAAAATAATTATGTATGCTTTTGAAAATGGCCAGCAGTGATTGTAATTATTTAAGATTTTTAATTGATGGGCTAAAACAAGCTAAACCACCAGTCTAGTCTTTTAGTGTGGCTAACACTTAATGAAAATGAAAAACATATTGCACAAGGAAAACAACACCTGTTTTCTGTTAAACTGTGTAAACTGAAGCAATATTCTGTATATGAAGCTAGAAGGCTGTACTAACAACAAATTGTGCCACAGGGAAACTTTCTAAAATGGTTTCTCTATCTCTCTCAGGCATTGGCAGTCAGTGACCATTTCCCTGTGGAGATGAAGCTGATTGGCCAGGCTCCTGCTGCCTGAATCATGACCACCACATCTGTTAATCAGACCTCCTGGCTGAATCTGTATTATGATCATTCAGTGGGGGAACTCTCCCCAACCACACAGCAATGAATGACAAGACTGAAAAATAAACAAATATGCCAAATTATTTCATTGCAATCTTGATTCTTGGAACAGACGTAAAAAAGATGAGTTTCTTATAGTGTGCATAAAGGGTGAGGCACATGAAAAAACTACTAAGAAATTAGCAACGTTTATCCAGAGTAATTTGGACGATAATTCTGAAAGCTGTTTGAATGTTGGCTCCGTTCACCTTTATTGTGGCAGGAATCATAAATCTTGGCACATACAACTAACGCGTTCTGCATATCGTGACACCTGGGTCCGAAGAGCGAGACTTTATTTCTCAATGTGACCATAAAGATCATTTTTAAGACTACTCAGATAAAGTACGACTAAAAATAAAAATGACAATGAATGACAATTCATTCTTTAATCACACTAATCAGTTCACTGGCCACATATACATATGTACTCCCAAATACATCCTTTTATTGAGAAATATATGGCTAATAAGAAGTTAGAAAAATTGAATGTAGATAAATCTGTTAGAGGATCAAGGCTTCGCCCACTGTGGGCTATTCAAATGCACCCACTTCAGTTGTTAGGTTCAGGAAGGCAGAGTAAGGCTAGACACTTTATATGGTGTATACCTGACAATTATTGACTTTTCCCTAAACCCCTCCCCCTAACACCAATTGTCAAATCATAGCTCAGCTACCATAACAAAGCACGGCAGGGCTGTCAAGCTTTGGATTTCTCCACATGCCGAAGTCTTGTGCTTGGGGCTGTAGTGTAGTACTTAGCCTACAGGCAATTTAAATAAATGCTTACTTTTCTCAAAATAAGTGTAAAGTTTGAAACTAAAGTCCTTAGAAATATGTATAGAAACTTTTTATTTGTCACTGAATCACTGGTGTCAATCCTGGGTATGTCTCCCCCGAGCTCGCTTGGTCACTGCCTGGTGAGGGGAGGATCACCCAGCTTTACTGTACACATGGTTCTTTGCTAGTTGAACACAGTTATGAAGATGAGCTGCAGAGAGCTGTAGTCGAGGGTCTCAGCACAAGTGACACCAATGAACATATGACACTGAAGGCAGATGTGTTTTCAACAAAGTCCCTCTAATGCTTGTATATGTGTGTGTGTGTGTGTGTGTGATTTTATACGTTTCCCTCTCTCCTCTAGCCCTTTCTCTTTTTAAGCATCTCCAGATACATGCGGAGCGACTTCTGAATGGAGTCTTTGGTGATGAAGCTGACAAAGTTTTGGATGTCAGCCTCTCTGTTGGATGTTAGTTTGTCGATGGTTGGCTTCCTCATCATGGACTTGGTGATCTGTCTGGCGTGGTCTGTAAAGCGAGCAGATGAACATGGAGTTAACGGACAGTGACTTGACTCAGTATATAATAAAATAAATAAATGACAGTATTTTATTGCCTGCAGGGACATAAGAACGTCAGGGGTTTCTTTTCATTCTACTGTCTTTACTGATTTGGTTTCCTGGGGAAATGTTTTTATTAAATAGGGGTCTGTAGCACCCTTAACCTTCCCCTTTGATGATGACCACAAATAACACCACCAAACAGTGATGGTGTACCCTAGAGTCCACTTTTATATCCTTCTTTTAAGGTGCTATATAATGTGTAATGTACCTGGAATAGCCAACCACTTAGCCATGGTCTGTGTGGCTGTGGTGAGGACCTGGTCTTCGGGTACCAGCTGATCCACAAGTCCTATCTTCAGGGCCTCTGAAGGGTTATAAAGCAGCCCCAGCTCCAGAGCTATCTCTGTGGTTCGGTGGCCCACTGTGTTTGTCATGGTGTCCTTAAACCTGCAGACAGCGGCAGTAATTGTCAATTACTTGACAATTTACTTTGACTTACTATGCATACTAATACGATCATCATCATGAACATAACCACCACTGCCACCACATGGGTGTTGTCATACCAAAAAGGTGCTACGATGCCGAGCTGTGTCTCATTAAGGCCGATGCTGTAGCGAGGGTTGTCCGCCATTATCCTGTAGTCACATGTAATAGACATCAGACAGCCACCCGCAGGACTGGAACCCTGTAGGAGGAGTGACAAGGTAGTCTAAGGGGTGATATTCACATTTGATTTTGTTAATTTTCTGTTGTTCTTCAACCACAGTGACTTCAGCGAACATCACTGAACTACCACTGTTTTTATTTGTTATTTGCAATCAAAATACTGTTGCTGTAGCTGTAAATGTAAAAACCTCACCACTTCTTATGTGAAACAATTATTTTTATTCAAGTATTCAAAGCCAGAATAGAGGTGTGTGCACACACACATTATCCATACATTGATTGCAGCTATAGTGACCAGGTTGGAGCTATAGAGTTTCAGCCACATCTCCTGAACAGCTCTCCAGAACTCTCCACAGCGCTCTGGACTCTTCCCGTACATCTCCATGATGTCCAGCCCGGCTGAGAACACCTTAGGCTGGTTCTGGTATAAAGCAACACACACACATGCAGGGTACATTGTCAAGTTGTACTGCAATATCTAGAAATTGTCCCATATTCCAGCACTGAATGGGCTAGCTAGCCACACTGAATAACATTGTAAAACATTAAACATTATTTATTACAAGGCAATTACAAACATTTTTAAAATGTGCATTAACTACCTTGTAATACAAACACAAAGCCAAAAAACACCCCTTAAAACTCCTGCACCAACGCTCTGCTGCTTTAAACGATGAGGTTATACTGTACCGAGGTGATGATGAGGCCTCGGCAGCTCTTGTCCATCTCCAGCTTCTCCACGCCAATGCAGAACTCCGTGAGGAAATCTAAACTCAAGCTGTTGACCGGCGGACTCTGCATTTGCATCACTGCCACGCCTACAGAGAGACAGAGATGAGGATCTTTTAACCGAATATGTTGGCAGAAATTCATCCCAAAATGACAGAAAGAAAAAACAAATATTTCCGCAGGCTGTCACAATTCAAAACAATTCTTCTTCAGCTGTGTCTGTATGACCCAACTTGCTATTCTTCAGCCACCGGCTATGAGGAGAAAAAGCCTAAACTCTTTGGAGCACTCATTTTTGATTTTCACAATCATTTTTCAATAAAATAAACTTTGTAAATGCTGACATTCAAGGGGGCTTTCAAAATATAAAAAGAGAGAGAGACAGATCAATGTTATACCTGTGCTTTGGTCAAAATCCACTTTGATCTTAGGTGAGGTGGAGTTGTTCCTCCGCTGAGCAACGAGGACAGGAGACAAACACACTCTGCCATGACTGTGGCATGACGACCGCTGGGAAAGTAGACCTGTGAAAACACACACACACACACACACACACACACAGTGTTAGTGTCTGTGAGGTCGTCTGTCCACTTGTCCACAGAATTCACTCATCATCTCTACATTCTTGTAGCAGAAAATCAAAACTAACATTTAGCGGCAACTATCCAAGCGTTCCAGTCACATAGAAAACTTTAGAACATTCCAATTTATCATTACTATGTTATTGATGCTGTTGCAGACAAGTGCAACATCATGATGTAGCTGGTGTCTTGTTTTTGCCATGTGCTTATCAAGCTTGTAAAAATTAGAGCAGAGTAGTAACGGTGACCTTTAAGAGAAGTTCACATGATTGATCAGAGCAGGAAAAGCGCTACAACTGTTCATTATTAAGAAATTAAACAAAATGATTTTACTGTAGGTTTTTCTGCAAATTTAAATTGTAGCACATAGTATTTGTGTGAAATCTTTCAGGTCTCCTGTTGCAATTCACATGTGAAATAAACAACAATAAAATAAATTTCTACCATATAAACAAATAAAGTGGGTGGAATGGAAACAAAAAGAAAACTAAAGTGGGGCAGGAAAGAAATTCTGCTGCAGAAATAAGGACTATTTAGCACATTGACAATTAAGATCTTGAAGATGTATGGAAAGTAAAGGTATCCATTTTTACTCAGGTACCTCCTGTTAATTAATACATTTTTAAACCATTTTGAGTCTTTGTGTAAATCATTTGTCTTGCACTAAATCAATGAACACAGTGAAAGAGATTGCAAACAACTAAAAACTATTTTTATTAGGGATCCAAGCAGTCTTAGAAAATGAAATGTCAAATGCTGTGTTCATTTTCATTGTCAAGTATGTGAAAATGAAAATTGGATCACTGCATTTTAATTTTTTCCCAAATAACAAATACATATGTGGAACATGATTATATTATTGTGGAATTACATGTTCATTTCCAAGTTAATATAATGAATTTAGTCGCAGATTTGCTTCGAGAGTCCTGTGACCTTTGTTCCAGTTTCTGTAGAGCACAACAAACAGTCGGCGGCAGTGCAGTTGTTATATTTGAGACATCGCGTTAGAATGACCATGCATACAATCAGACACCTCTTCTCAATGTACATACACATGCAGACATACTTGATAAGCCGGACTTGTTCCTTAATGCAGCTCTCAATGCCATTTTGTCCAGATCGCGGATGGACGCAGAGAGCAGAAACTTCCGTAGCGAGACCTTTGAGACCAAACAGAAGGTGCGTCAACAGCGCCACCCGCTGCTTCGGAGTGTGGACCAGAACAAGACTGCTGCCAAATTTGCCAATGATTTGGTTTTGTACATTGTTCGTTCTTTTGAAGAAAAAAAAAAAAGTTTGCCAAAAACAAAACAAATGCAATGTGAAATAATAAAAAATAGTCCACACTGTATTTGTTTGAAATCTTTCTGGTAGCAATTCAAACGTGAAATTAACAACAATCGAATACATTTCTAACATGTAAATAAAAAAATATAAAAGTGGCTGAAATGGAAACGATAACTGCAGCAGGGAAGAAATTCTGCAGATTTTCTTGATTTGATAAGCCAAAGCCATTCAATTTCCCACGAAAGCAGAGAAAAGCAAATACAGGCAGCATAATAATTTCTGACAAAGAAAATGACTTAAAGGATGAATTGATAAATAGTTACCAATTCATTTTCTGTCCATTAACTAATCAAATAAAGGACTAATTGTTGCAGCTCTACTTTACACATCACTTAACATAATGTTCCTGTTGTAACTATTCATCATGGACAGTGCCATTACTAATTTATTCCTACAAAGTGGCATAATGTCAAACAGCTTAAAGGCAGAGAGAGGAAGAGCGAGGAGAGAAGAGAGAGAAAGCGATGAGGGAAGAGAGAGTGAGGGGAGAGATAGATAATTGATCTTAAAGTCATGGTCAAAGCGTGTGACCGCAGCAGAGAGATTCACCAGGCACAGAGGCTCCTCTCAATCAGTGAGTATATTATTTTTAACCTTAAGTTGAACTTCACATGTGTTTGTGTGTGTATTTTCTTTGCACCTCTAAACACTAGTGTACAGTTTTATGTACATATTGTTTTGTGGGTGGATGCAAAAAGTATAAGATGACTTTTTATTTGGTTCATTTTCGTTGGTATGGATGGTTTCAGTAATAAAAACAGTAACAAATACACCTTTCCTATGTTGACACTGAAGGCGTGTGCCTCCATATGTTCACAGCCATTTTCGTCTGTGTTAATAAAGGTTGATCTTTAGCGAATTTGGAAATAACATGTGCTGGGTGGACAGGTGGATGTAGTGTTGATTTAAGCACTGAGTTTAAATGTCTCGGAGTACGTGTCCTCTCTGCATGTGTAACTGCATGTGTGTTTATTCAAATTTAAATAGTTTACAGTCCATCAGTTTGTGTGATTTCTCATAAATCGTTCATACTTGTTTTTATCTTTTGTTCTGACTATACAGCACTTTTCCACTTTTCCACCCTGACCATCCCCTTCAGTGTTTGCTGGAATTGAGCGTCATAGGAAATCCATCTGTGTGCGTCACCTCTGCGCCCCGTAACCTGGGGGACACACACCTCTCCCCCGCCGCTCTCTGCTTTCACTTTTTCTGTCCAACCCCACCCTGGGCCATCATGGATCTTGTGGAGTTTGGAGACATGGGCAGTGGCTGTGAGGATGAAAACCTTGGCCTGGCATCTGGCCCCCCGAAGGACTGCATTAACCAGCAGAGCCAGTTGGAGGAACCCATGTTTGGATTGATAGAGTTAGGTATGTAAAAAACAATAGTAAAAAAGGTCAATTGCATAATGTTTTGTTAATAGACATTTAAAGCTGCACCAGGCAAGATTTTGTGGGAGAAAAATCACAAAGTGGTCTTGCAACTGATATAGTCCCCTTCCCCTTTGACGTTAACCTTTATCTTGATTGACTGAAGGAAATTATGTGTCTGGACAGTAACATGTTTCTTTCTTGTCGAGAGTAAAGGCCAATTTAAACTTCAGCGTCAAATCTATACCGTAGTAGTCCACTCTGTAGCCTACGCATTGCTGCATACTCTACACCCTAGCCTGACACACACCTCCCCAAAAACACAGATACAGACCACAAGAACTGTGATTGCTTGGCTGGGTAGCATCGCATTTCCTCCTACTCATTTCCGACTTGTCCTTCTTCGCCACCTCTCTTCTCTCGTTTCTGCGTTTTAGTAATTTCACTAAAAGTGTGCTTACTAGTTACTTATTACTCCTTAAAAAAGTTATAATATTACTTTTCTTATTACTGGCTGAAAAAAGTAACTAGTTACATTACTCGTTACGTTATATTATAAATGCTCACGATGACTTAGGCTACAGTGATTCTACGCAGAAGTATAAATTGGCCTTTAAATGAGAAGATCTACTACAGCATTCACTAACAAGGACCACGCCAATGTTAGATTTTATAGTGGTTTATTGTAATGAATAGTTATGAAAGGAGGGGTTGAGAGGGGAGGGATGAAAAGGGGTCGAGGGGTAAGAGGTGAGGGATGAAGGGGTCAAGAGAAGAGGGAAGAAGGGGTCGAGGGGAGAGGAATGAAGGGGTCGAGGGGAGAGGGATAAAGAGGTCGAGGATGTTGTTTAGGGTGTGGTGGCCGGAGTGGCTAGGAACCCGAGGGGTCGAGATTCAGGGTGGGGGCTCGTCTCGATAAGCGGCTTGGTTTTATGAACCCCCCTGTGGTTCCTGTTGTGGAAAAGGACAAAATGATTACTTGGCAGAATTGTGGATTTTAGCGTGCATGTCTTTCATGGTGGGAGGAAACTGGAGCACCCGGGGGGGAAACCCACGCAAACACGGGGAGAACATGCAAAGGGCCACGGTGCTGCCCATTAAAAGAGGTGAAAAAAAACCATTTGGGTTTGGGTGGGAGGGATGTGAGAACTGAGTAACGGGAGAGAAAACAGGTTAGACAGCTTATATACGTGAGTGCATGTGATTGGATTTGAGAGGCAGAGGTGGATGAAATGAGTGAAGCACGGGTGGTTGATTGGAGGACTTGAATGAGGCGCAGGTATTTGAATTAGTGAGAGAGGCGTGGTCCTGTTCCTGAATCTCAGTTTACATAACCCCATAATGTGAAGCTATCATAACCAGCAGTTAGCTTAGCTTAGCATTAAAGGCCCTGACAGCTTAAATTTTCACTCGGAGTCCTACATGAACACAGTTGTATGCCAGAGTTTGAACAGTTTTGGTTATTTCACAGATTTTCTGTATTTTTGGTTTTCTAACTCGTCTGAAGTGACCAGGGCTCAGGTGGAAAACAGTGTCACATACTTCTTTGCAGCAATCAAGATCTAGCAATACAGTATATTTTTTTCAGTGTGTCTTAACCATTAGGCTACCTGCGTGCAAAGGCAGGTGTTATTTGCTTATATTGCCAGGCAACTGTGGATCAAATCTGATCAAACTACACCTACACAGCCGTGATGAAGCAGATTTGGTTTTGCATAAAAACCACAGACTGTATAAAAGAAGTGGACATAGCCACCGTGACATCACCCACTGGTTTGTGGACTGCTGTTTTGAAGCCTTGAGTTTGGCATTTTGCCCGCAGCCATCTTGTTTATTTGGAACTGGATGTGACCACACTTTGACAGGCAGCACTCAAAAACATGTTCATGGCTGGTTAAATGCAGCGCCATCAAATAAGCTTTTTTAATTGCGCTGGTGCAGGATAGACTTTGCCTCTATCCTGATCATATTGACAGGTCGCCGTGGAAGTGGCTTGTCACAATGTAGCACAAAGCATACACTGCTTTTTCTCCATTTTCCTCTAAATGGGACCATAATTTACTAAATGAACATCATGCTGTATTGAAGAAGACTTGAAACTTGCGACTGAGACCATAAACTCATTAGGACAGTGTTTAATGTGGTAATAAATGAAAAATAGGTTCACTTTATCAGTAGGTCAAATGCAATCGGAATTCAGAAGACTCGCCCCCTGCTGGCCATTCGAAAGAATGCCGGTTTAAGGCACTTCAACATTGACTTGACTGTTCAGACCTGGTAACAGCTGCTTGGTAAAGTCAACATGTTGATTATGCTCTTAATACATGCTAATTAGTGAGCTTTAGTGCTGCTGCTATGGATTTCTTTACCCTTTCACAGAGCCAGGCTAGCTGTTTCCCCCTGTTTCCAGTCTTTGTGCTAAGCTAAGTTAGAGTATCTGGCCGCTGGCAGTAGCTTCATATTTACCGTATAAACACGTGAGTGGTGTCAATCTTCTCATCTAACTCTCAGCAAGAAAGCAAATAAGCATATTTACCAAAATGCCAAACTATACCTTTATATTTTAACAGGTTAGCTGTTTTAGTAACGTGCAGGGTGCAGTAATATTAAGAATCTTTTTCATGTGTCTGACAATGTGTAGAGTTATGAAATAAATACAAAGTGGTTCTGATAAACCATATTTCATGTTGTAGTGTGTGTCACGGCCATTTACATTCCACTGATGCTCTTCGGCCTTCTGGGAAATATATTAACAATTCTGGTGGTTTGGCTCCGACCTCACATGAGAAGTTCTACCTACCTCTACCTGAGCAGCATGGCTGTTAGTGATCTGTTGATACTCCTACTGCTACCTCTGGATCTGTATAAGGTACACGCACACACATACACAAGGTGTACCTTTTCCCATGCATGCATGTTATGGCGATGTACAGTGTGATCTGACCAAATACTGATGTTTTGGCTCAAGGTGCTGTCATGATAGCAATTAAGGACTACTGATGAATAGGACAGGAAGGGGGCATGATGTATTTGCTTCCTTCAGGTAACTGTTTTCCAATAGTGGATAAACAATCATTGCTTTTCCCTCAGGGGAATCCCTGCTGCCAAATTAGGTTTTCTTCCATTACACTCAAGGTTCATGTCATACCCAAAGAGCTTTTAGATCATTCATCTGTAATTTCCTCTTCAAGATCAAAATAAACAATATTTCATGGTTTAAAATCTACAGTTCTTCTTATGTCAACTGTTATTTTGACCCAACTAATGAGTGACTCATGTATCCGTCCCGTCAGCATCATTTCAGTTGACATAGAAGTGGTAGCGGATGCACAGAGCAGTTACTTCTAAGAGTGAAGAGAATTGTGATTTCTGTGAGTATTTCTGTAAATGATTCTGTACAGCTGCGTTAAAACTCCCCCATGCTTGTCACCATTTTCGTGGTAATTTATCAGGCACTGGCACAGGAAATCAGCATCCCTGTTCTTAAACCCAATCACAAAGCTCCGATTGTTCTTGCATCAAGGCTGTCATTGAGCACAACACCAGACTGATATTAAATGCAGGAACCAGGCTACTCCTTAGGCTCCTTAAACAAACTGAACTGCGAATCCAGCCTTGTTCCCCTTGCAGTGTTCACTTGCTGGCTGAGGAAAAGTTGGAGGATGACCAAAGTCTTTGGAGTTTATCCTCTAAAGATAGAATATCACTGTCACTAATTCCTGAACCTAAGTGACTGACCGACTCACAAGTCCTAGAGCCACGCTGCTAGTGTGGCTAAAAAGGTGTATTATTCAGAATGCCAATGTAAGCTAGGCAGTTGTGCTAGTTTTAGCAGCTACTGTGTGTTTTACCCTGCCAGTTCTGTTCTGACCAAATGTTCACTGTCATTCTCACGTTTGTGGAAATCAATTTCTGTTGGCACTTGTCTAGATATCCTGTATCATCATTCTTCCTGTTTGGTTGACAAAACATCACTATTCTTGTCTGGAACATGTTCTGACTCCAAATGAAACACTCAAGGTTGGTTTGTAAACTGAGTATGTGCCCTTTGCATAAGGTTTGTGCATATCTGAGTGTGACAGCTGTGTTGTCATGAAACTGAAGATGTTGTCAGGGTAAAATAGTTGTTCTGTCTCTTCCAGCTCTGGAGGCCCAGGCCCTGGCCCTTAGGAGACCTTGCCTGTAAGATGACGATGTTCCTCTCAGAGTGCTGCACCTTCTGCACCATCCTCCACATCACCTTCCTCTCCCTAGAGAGGTACCTGGCGGTCTGCTGGCCAATCACTGCCAAGACCCTGGTGACGCGACGCAGAACCAGGGCTCTCATTGGCTGCCTCTGGCTGGGTGCAGCCGTCAGCGCAGCGCCGGTGTTGGTCATGGTTGGAGTGGAGGAAGTTGGGGGAGAGGAGCTAGTGCTCGGTGGATGGAGGGAGGACGGTGGGTGGCGGGAAGGAGAACAGGGAGGCTTTATGAGAGGTGGAGGGGAAAGAGGAAGTGGACACATGGCCTTGATGGATGGAAGATTGGAAGGAATAAAGTGGAACGAAAAAGAGAAAAGAGGATGTGGTGAAGGAGTTCAGGAGTTAAAATGTTTTGGAGAGAAAGAAGAAATTGGAGGACGAGATGTGAGGAAACAAGGAGGTGGAGGAAAAGTGTTTGTTGAAAAACAAGCGGATGAGGGAGAAAGTGAAGAAGAAGGGAAGATGGAAGATGAGGGGGAGCGGCAAAATAAAATGAAAGAAGATGAGGGAGGAGGAAGGGAAGAAGGTGTTGATGGAGGTCGCGGAGGAGAGATTGACAACAGAGAGTGCCGCTGCACGCAATATGCCGTCTCCTCAGGCCTGTTGTCGGCCATGATGATTCTCTCCAACTTGTACTTCCTGGTACCGCTCTGCATCCTGGGACTGGTCTACAGCCTGATTGGACGGACATTGTGTCTCCGTCCACAAAGCAGTCGTAGAGACCAGAGTCACCGGCACACTGTCAAGATGCTGGGTGAGAAAAATACACACCCTCAGGCACTTCCTTTATTGTAGCAGTTGAGGAATTCAGGTCATTTATTTGTCATTTTACAGCACAGGGTTGCACAATGAAATGTAGGTTGGAGCCCCTTCGTGCTACATATAGGAATAGAAAAAAATAAAATTAAATTAAAAATTTCAATATATACACTTAAAGATATACCATCCATCCATCCAGTAATTTTGTAGTGCATTTCTTTAATTTGCGTCTGCAGGAATGTAACAAGATGCATTAAGAGGACAGTGTTAATAATATGGTCGGCATTGTACCATTAAACTCAACATCTGGGGCACACTGTCTATCAACTTTGACTACGTTTAAGCACCTAGCATCATTGATGTAAACACAGATCTCCCTCATCTTGCCGGACACGGTCCGCCTGCCAAGTGAAATACCATAATTCTGGATGTTGTGGTGGAGCCAGGTCTCTGTAAGATCCTGTTGCTGGGTGAACCTGAGTCCCATATTGTCGTTTCCATTTTCCTGCGACCGGACAATAGCCAGGAGTTGACTGGGTAGTGGAGTAGCCTTAGGTGCAAGCTGGATTAGCTTAGCTCTTATGCAGGGTTTGAAGGAGTTTAAAGGAGCTACTGGCTGCCACATCTGCAAACACCAGGTGGCTGCGCAGGTAGGCCTCCTATGCCATTGTAGCCAGCAGTGGAGCTGGTAATTGTTAATATTCTGATGATGTGATTGTTATAACAGAAATATTAGACCTATTTGAATACTTTGTGGAATAGAGCAGCTAACAGTTTCTGCTTCTCTAATGATAAGCTTCAATTTTTGATAGCATGAGAAATAAGAACAGCGGCAATCTCCCTTGTGTGAGGTTTTGATTGGCTATTTAGCCAATCACCCAGTGTCGCAGTGGTGCTGTTTTTTCTGCACCCTTGTATTAGATGGAGGCGGGTTCAGGAGGAAGACGGTTTTGAATTTGTGCTATTGCATGGCTGGGACAGCAGCCATTAGAAAACAGAATACATAACACAGACTCATTTTGGCTGGTGACGTGTCGCACATGTGACCTCTATTGACTGGCCGCCACTGCAAACAAAGCTGATGTTAGCCTGCTTATACATTCCCTTTAAATTGAAAATAAAATATTGAAATAAGTAATATGGAATATAGTTAACACATCTGACCTGACACTTAAAAATGATATTTTAATAATGATGTAAGCTGGAAATTTGTTATAAAACATTTTGCAAAACTTACATTCGCTGTTTTTGAAGGTTAGCATAACTGGATATTTCCCTCACATTCTAAACTACATGCATTGCTAAACTAACAAGGTAATAACTCCATTTACAAGGGACTGACAATAAGGTTTAATATATTATTTTCATCCCTGTAACTGTTAAAGTTACGTTAGCTTATGTTAGATATTAAGCATCTCATGATGCTACAGTGACTAACTGTTTCAATTGTTGATTGCTTTTGATTGGACAGTGCTACCGATGTTTCCTAGCAACCAGTTTAGACATTACTGAAGTCTTTACTAGCTAAGACATTTCGTTAGTTTAAAAGGAGCTGTAAGTGACATTCTCTGCCACTAAATGTCAAACTAGAGAACCAGCATCTCAGACCAAAACAAACCTACGCTACAGCCCACCAGACCCCTAACAAAAAAAAAACACTGAACTGAAGAAAATAAAACTCAGCGAAAACCTTCTTTCCACTGTCATCAATTCAATTCAATTACCAACTCTGGTTTGGTCGAAATAAATAATTCACAGAGTTAGATGAAAAAGAAACAGCCGTTACATCACTCTCCTCATTGTTTTCTGCTAATGTTTAGAATCTCATACACAGAACTTTTAAGTTGTAATGGTCTGATTTAGTAAATTACTAGTTTGAAACTAGCTAGTACTATACAAAATATTTAGAGAGGATCTAGGATTAGGTGGCACAGCCCAATCAAGGACAGTATTTTGAGACGAATGTAAGTGGTAGAATCTGGTTTGTTAATGTAAGAGACATCTTTAACTTCTAATGTCCTCGCCCTGCATTTTTCTCTTCACCCTGCCCCTCTGCCTCTTCACCTTCTCCAGGAGTGATCGTCTTGGCGTTTGTCCTGTGCTGGCTGCCCTTCCATGTGGGTCGGACCATTTTCTCTCTTTCTCTGGGCACCGGTTCAGACACACAGGAAACATACACGGACACAAACTCACACTTAGACGTTACCATGCTCTCTGACATCAGCACAGACAGAAATATCAATATACGCACTGTTACTAAACCAGCTGGCCACTCAGACTCAGACACGCATTTCAAAACCTCCCCCAAGACTGAAAAGATGACTGCGCACGCTCACACAGAGGGAGATGAAATATTGTGTGACATCTGTACAAAGACCAAAGTCAAAATCAACACACACAATGATGTGGACACAGAAACTGAGACACACACTGCCATGGGCACACAATCTGACAAACGCTTACATTCTCATGACATATCACACACCAGAGAGCAACACATAACCACTGGCACGAGCACACATAATGTGGATCCTAGCACTGAAATGTATACACATTCTGAAACACACAATGACACAACGCATGTTAACACACAACTGGGCAGATTTACAGAGAGCAGAAACACAAATGATCAAATGCATAACAGCACAAACACCACTACACATCATGACACACACAAAACGACACATATTATTAAACAAGAATCACATTCACAGACTAGTTTCCATACCGACAAAAGCACCAGCAGGCCGAGCAGTCCACACACACTCACTGACACGCAGAACAGCACAACCATTTGCATGAACTCACAACACGACACACCTAAACACACACCTGTGACACCCACAGACCTGTACGATGATAATACACACTATGACACACACGTCAATAATACACACGCACACCCTGACACACACTTGTATTTTTTATACTATCTGTCTCAATATTTCAACCTGGTGTCCTCTGTCCTCTTCTACCTCAGTGCTGCTGTCAATCCTTTACTGTACAACCTGATGTCTGCCAGATATAGACACGCTGTGCACAGCCTCATGCACACACACTCTCAAACACCGTCTCAACGCCTGCGCACAGTCACAGCACGGCACTCCACGACCACGTTGTAAGGGCAAATACTGTATGCGAAGAACTAGACGCACACGCTGCATGCAAAAAGGGGAAACAATCAAGCAAACACATTGCGGTCACTGTTTAAACCTCATCGCTTTTCATTTAAACAATGTCTTGGTACCTTGGTAATGGCAAAAACTTTGTGGTCATTGGTGGTACTGCAAAGGCCATGACAATATCAAGAACCACAACTTAATTAAAGGCTTTGATGTATAGATGAATAAACAGCATTTTTATTTTTCTCGATTAATTGAAGCTTTACATCTGTAAATCTTGGTGTTTTAGGGACACTCTTTTCTTTATATTTGGACCATAGATTTTGCCTTCAGATCAAAGCATCCATTTTGACTTGTCAAACACAATGCTAACTTTTTTGCTCCTAAATAAAAAAAAATCTAGGAGCACACAAAGAAATGTAGGAGCACAGTCAATGTGAATGTTCAAGTAACACAGAAAAGAATAACAAACATTTTATTACAAACATATTTATACTGTGTCTGTGCTCCTTTTTGTGAACCCCACAGCTTTTGTGATGTACCGCTGGAGTGCGATGTGCAGTCACCCTGACTAACGTTAAGTTAGCTGTTGATGGTCAGTAAATACCTGCGAAACGTAGGCTGGTTCTTTGTTAATCCATCATGCCTCGTTTTGGATTTCTACACGTGTTAAATACTGAAGATGTTATGTCTGGGCCTGGAGGCTTTGGAGTCGCTTAAAGGCACCTTTATTGGTGGAGCTGCTCTGAGTAACAATAATTATCTAAGTAATGAGACTGTTAACCCTTGATGTTGATTAATATAAGTAATTGTGTTCATAATATATAATGTAATAGTAGTTAATTTTTTTTTTTTTAAATAAACTGCCCAGCATTTACCTGGACACTTTAGTAGAACAGACCCATGATTAGGCCCATTCCTATAATAGTGTGACCCAACTGTGAAGGACGACGGACAAAATTCGGTCCTTCTTTTGTTCGGGCCAAGCTAATATTAGGATTTAAACATTTTCAGTGTGTATCTTCCAATGTTACGTTCTTTTAGTACGAAATACCCTCTTTGTGTTTTTTACTGGTCAGTGTTCCCTTGCTGAGCCACGTGAAGGTAACGGGTCGGTATGTAGCCGCATGAACGCTCCCGAGTCTCCTGCCGACTACAGCAACAACACCGCAGCTAATGACATGCAGTCCACTGAAACCATAAAACAACCGGCTCCCAACACAACACAGATTCCAACATTAACTCCAAGATAAACTCCATGTCAGGATACAAAACAACAATAAAATTTTTTGTGCTGAAGCCTGTCAGGCCAAACGATATCAGAAAGGCTGGAGTCAACCTTATTTACTGTGGTAACTGTTATAAAGTGTGCCAACAATCTCGTTATAATACTCAGTCCAGCTCACTAACCGTTTCGTTATCGTATCATACATGCAGCTGTGCTCACATTGCTGAGCCTCCAGGGAAAGACACACAAATAGTAATGTTAGTTACTTAAAAGCGGCAGGCGAGCTAACGTCAACATATCAGGTCGGCTAAATGCAGTAAATGTAACGTTATCATGGATTAGTTCAACCTCAAGCTGTATGAGCCGGGAAAAATGGCAGCAACAGAGCCTGAACATGTCTGCGTGAAAAGTCACACTCGGCATGCTGGTGTTTCTGCGTTTATTGCGGGATCTCTGTTGTGTTTCGGATAATGCTCGCGCATGAGTTCAAGCAAGCACACGTATGAGCACACAACTGGTTGCAATCATAAAATCGAAGTGGCTGCTGAAAACTACATAATGCCCCTGTAAGTCGCTGTCATAATTGTGTAAATAAACAAAATTCTACCAACTTGTATGTTGTATCATGACAGTATAGAAACTTAGTCAGTGTCAGCCTTTTTTGGCAATTTCCTCGAGGCAGTATGTGCCACTGCAGAGCAAACTCCCAAGTGTGAGGCCTAACTCAGACTGATGAAGCCTCACATTGGCTTAAGCAGAACTTAAAAATGCAATTTGCAGAACGACGACTGTAGATTTTGTTCCTCATTCACTTCATGGCCAGTGCGGACAGGAGGAATGATGAACCAGTAACTCTTTCAGTGTGTGGACAGCATGTGAATTTTATTGTGCTAGGATTACAAAGAAATATGAAATCCAGCCATCAACACAGTTTGTTTAAACAGCATCACACACTGCACTTATTTTAGCTCAATGAGAATCTTATGTCAGTGTTTTTAAAGTAGGGCTAACTTACTTTTAGAATACGTGTATTTTAATTGAGGTACTTTTCCACAATATGTATATTTATACAGAGTATAATTATAGTAACAGTGGCCTGCTCAAAATATGTTCTCCCGTCCACAGATGCACAAGCACACACACACACACACACACACACACACACACACAGAATAGGGCTATCATTTTGATTCATGTAGTTTCATCCAGGTTGATGTGTTTTGATGTTGTATATATTACGTTACGCGTCCTGGTGTGTCACATACGGTCATAAATGACTTTATTTCATATCACCTCTACGTGGGAGGTTATGTTTTTCCCAATGCCAGACTCTCTGTCTGTCAGCAGGAAACATTTCAGAATGGATTTCCTGAAGTTTGGAGAACAGATTGCCCTCGAGGACTTAGGGACAATTGATTTGATTGTGTCTGTAACCCAGGCCATTTCTGCCACGAGATCACGTCTTAGAACTATGTGTCCATGAAGTAAAGGCTTGATTCCAAATCAGTATGAGAAATGTTCAAAATTAAAAGAATTATCTGTAGTTCACTCAGACAGTATAATATCATAAATCAATGTAATTTCCCCCCCTAGCCTCTCACATCTTTGTTGGTTGACAATATGCCTCATATTATAGATACTGTATAGCTGTTACTACTGTACACTTTGTGAGGTGCAAGTATATGCTATATTTGTTTAATGTTTTGCTTGTATTTGACATGAGGCATTCCCTGGGATCACTATCAATATAGTTAGGCCATCTAATCAGTATTGTTTGAGATAAGATCTATAACACCTTCTGTTCATTTTTGGTTATGTTTATTTGTTTGTTTATTATAAGCCTGCTATGTACATATGTAAAATATTGGCTGACTTACCAAATACTTTGCACTGACTCACGTCTTCTGTTAAAAGTTGCACCTGAACACACTGCAACAACTACAGCTGACAGCCAGCAGAACACTGGAGTGCACGTATGTTGAAAGAGTGACAGATTGTAACTATAAAATAATGCAATGCTACAGTCTATAGACAGATTGATGCTTTTCTTTTTCCTGATAAAACAGTTTGATATGCAAGCTGTATAAAATACCAAAAAAATAAACAAGAGACATTTTATTAAACATACAACACAAATGTCAGACATAGTGTTATATTTATAGTACCTCCTTCAAGTACGGACGTGCCGCTTATACACTTTAGCTTTTGTATAGAAAATAGATGTACCATGTGAAGTAACAAGCTCTGGATGTGGATTTTGTAACCTTTGGACAGAGTCACGCTCACTGTTTCTCTCCATTTCCAGTCATTGTTCTGAGCTAAGCTATCTGGCTTGTAAGAAGCTTAAAATTTCTGTATTTATCAGTTTATAGTACTGTCAACACAGAAGCGTTTTTCTTTTCATAAATTTTATAGTCACATGAATACAACATTAAGGCATCATAATGAAAATAAATATTGTATCGTGGCTCCATTTTCAACTGGACTATACATTAAACATGGCAGCAGGGCAAGCGTCAATTATAACATACAAAGAAACATACGAACATACAAAGAAAGAAAAACACAAGTAATTTAACAGAAAAAGTGGGCAATAAGATCACATTCATATTTCAATAAATAATTCTTGTAGAATGCTTATTGTATGGACACATTTTCAAATCGACTCAAAGTACTTTCCAATTCAAATGATGGGCAGGACCTTGAGAGCTTCTTTTCTCACAGGAACGTCTTTCAGTCTCAGGCGTGTCTGATGCAACAGATATGCTCCTCTTTTAATCAGTCCAGCTGTATACATGGTACACTGTAAACATGATGAACAGTCATTGCGTATTGGGTTCTGAGCTATGCCAAAAACACGGGTGACCTACACTGTACCTGAATGCATACAGAAAGGCTGCTGCCGTTTTGATAATGTGCAGCTCATGCCTGTTTAGACACGGTGTAGACTAAGCCTATTCCCCAAAATGTGAAACTGTTATTTTAATATATTAGATCGATTGGTTGAGGCAGAAACAAGAGAAAAATTTTGAGAATTCATAGCCTACTTATTACTTTTTACCTGCATTTATATAGATAATATTTTTCAAAACCCAACCTGAAAGCAGATGATTGTCATTAGATTTCCTATATTCCAGGATGTGTGGGCATTTCTGTGTTTGAACAGTTTGTTTGCTGTGTGTGTATCTGCCCTGCGTGCGTCCAGACTTTGTACCCAGTGACTGAAGCTTGAACACACACTGCTGCTTTCTTGATGAATGGTCAGCGACAGCAACTTTGCTGGGGTTTTTCATTTTCACGGCAGTTTCTGCAGTTTCCAATCACTCTGGACGCTGACATGGGAATAAACTGCAGTGCTTCTCCAGAGACCATAGACTGTCTGTACGACACTGCCAGGTATGCAAAGAGGCGACAAATTGAACCCATATCCCTGGCAGCATCTTTAAATATGTTGTTTTGTGATTTGGGTGAACTGTAAAGATGTGATGTCATCGCATCATATAGTGAAAACTTAATCGTAGCCCCAGTTTGGGGGCAGGGATAATGTGGTGGTCCAACCCAGAATGCTATAACTCTCCAGCCATGCAGGCCTGGTTCCTGAAGCCTCCCTGGATCCATCACTGACCACCATGCTTTCCCTGAACTCCTCTTGGGCTCTGGAGCAGCAGTACTCCACTCTGCAGAGCGGTATGACCCGGCAGCAGAGACTTGCCTTCAACCGTGACCTCCACACCCTCTTCGGAGGAAACACCACGGTCGGATCCTACTGGTGTTAAATTTGCACTAAATGTGTCACTGTCCCACAAGCTACCGTATGCATGGTTTGCCTGGCATTAGTCATGCCTGGAACATTATGGAATTATATTTATTATCTAGAGAAAGTGTCACGTACCACCTCATGCATTTTAGTGAACGTAGTTATTACTGTGAATATTTTAAACATCAGGATTTTTTAACATGTATGATTTAATATGAAATAGAAGTATCGATTGGAGACCAAAAAATGAAATAGGGCAACAAAGTACTACATAGTGCAGAAAAGAAACATTTTCACGCCTAAATAAATTTGCACATTGTTTCATGTATCATGTATTAGCCCAGTGCTTCATAACTATGTTTATGACATTGGGAGTTCTGGAGAGATTAGCATTGCAAAATGTTACATGCTCACAGCCTCAAATGCAACAACAACTTTGTTACTAAGTTACTTATACTAAGTATAATTTTCTATGTGTGTCTGTAGGTGAGTTATGGGGGTGTGGGTGTTGTTGCACTTGCCCTCTCAGTCCTGTTTGAGATGCTAGCCCATCACCAGACCACAAAGTCGGGCCCCCCACCTCCAGATCCGATACGCAGAATGTTCGGGGCTGATGCGGGGTCGGACATCAGCTCCATTGCCAGCGAGTTTCTCAAACAGGTTGAACAGGATTTTATTTTTTTTATTTTTTATTTTTTTTAAACCTGTCCTGCCCAGCAGCCTGGTATAGAGTATAATGACCTGGATACCATATTGTGCCAGACAGATTTTACTTTAACAAGAGAGTATTAAAATACTCCTTTGTCTGTTTTATTATTTATTTAATTATGTATTGATTTGTCACCGGGCCGGACAGGGGGGCAGACACGGGGATGGGGGGGAACAAACAGACAGCACAGAGAAAGGACAACACCTGCAAGAGAAGGGGGAAAGGGGGATGGAGGGTGGGGACAACAGGGAAAAGCTGTGGGAAACACCAATTGCAGAAAGCAACGAAACCTGCAAGAGAACAGAGAGGGGGGCTTGGGGAGGAGAAAAACAACAACAAACAAACACAAACAAAAAAAACAATAAAATAATAATAATAGTAAAAGAAAACCAGCCGAACAGCAGCAATAAACAGCTGACATATTAATGACATATTAAGACAACTAAGAGAACAATGAAAACAAGAAACAGTCACACACACTAAATAAGCAACACAACACAGCCACGAGAGCTGGAATAATAATTAATTTAAATAAGTAACTGAAAGAAAGGCATCAGGAATAATTCTACCAGGGACAACCTAAGTTTGTTTGTGTCTGTGTGTGTCTGTGTGCGTGTGGGTGAATGTGTCTGTATGTGTGTGTATGTACATGTGTGTGCGCATAAGCCTGTTAAAGAATGTAGTTGTTAGAGAGAGTGGGACGCCACGACTGTAACAGGCAGGCAAGAACCCCAGTAGCCAATAGGGGTGGAAGAAAGAAAAAGAATAAATCAAATCAAAAAAAACAAAGACTCCCAGATGCACCGCGATGCAAACGCAGAAGACCCCGACCCAAATGCCAGTTGACAACGTAATGCCGACGGAACGCAAAAGAGGAAGAGCAGCGCCCGGACCGACCGCGTCGCAGACACAACATAGACCAGTGGCCTCCCCCATCCAGCACCCCACCGCCGCGCAGCAAACAACCACAATGCCCAAATGCCACGCAATCATCAACACCAATGCACAAGTGACGAGCCCAACGCGCACACTGCGCGAGCACGGCGACACCCATGCCCAGCAGCCCCCCGCGAATCCCGCGTGTGAGGTCGGGCAAATGAGAGAGAGCAAACGGAACAACACGACAGCGAAAGCCAGTGGAGAGAGACACCAGCAGCAAGCCCCAGCCCGGCAGCAAACGCGCCGCACAGGTCACCGTGCACCCGCCAATAAAAGTCCACCGTCCCCCCAACTGCCGGAAAAAACTAAGGCCGCCGGCGCCAGCCGACATCCCCCATGCCCAGCGCGCCCCCCGGCCGCCATGCAACACCAGCCAAACCAGCAACGAGGCAAAATCAACTAGCTCAGCTGCATGCCACCAACAACCCACCCATCCATCAAGGGCCGAGAACTCCAGGCACAAACCCAGAACAAACCGGAGCACAGCCCTGCCCCGCACCCACACTGCACATCCCGAAAACTAACTATATACCTCAGTATCCAGAGGGGTCCAACAACTGGCCGACAGAGAAATGGGCAAGCACGGATCCGAGGCCAACGAAGCAAAACAGGAACCCCAGCCCAGCCAGAGGCATCCCTCCCTACAGTGCAGCCAGTGACAGCAGCCCCCGAGGCCGATTTCATCCCCGGACAGGGGCCCAGCCCCCCCCAGTCAAGCACCCCCAAGGAGGAGCACCAAAACCTACCCCGACAGCACCGGTCATGCGCCCCAGAGACTCCCGAATGCCCCCACCGTGAGAGAGCTGGCAGGGGGGAGCAGCGGGAGCCTCACCTCTGCCGAAGAGGGCCCAGGCGAGGAGAGGAGACAACGGGCCCCCAGGCCCAGGGACACACCACCCGCCCAGAAATGAGCAAAGGCCACAAGCCCGAGTCCGCAGAACCCTAGGCCAAGGGCGGGCCCCCACGCCAGGGGAGCCCCGACCCCCCCCAGCCCACCCCAGATCAGGCAAGGCCGCCACCAACCCCACAGCACCCCCAACGCCCGGGGCTCCAGGGGTAGGACACGAGGCCAATGAGAATCTCTCCCACTCCTTCAACCCCTCTGCCTGCCTCTGTAAATGTATTGTTTTGTGTTGGATGCATGTCATGGATTGTGAAGTGTTGTATGGTGGAGTGAAGATAAGGTGTGTGGTAACTAAGGTGCAACTAAAATTGGAGGGTAGTTGTGACACAGGCACCCCACAACTGTCAGGTAGTGGAGCCTCCCATCGTGCCCCTCCCACCCCCCAAGCCCTCTGTGTCTAATGTGTAATTAAAATTGAGGGACAGGCAGTGAGGGAGGAAGAAGTGCGAGGCCGCAATAAAGCAGCCCCACCCCCCAAACGCCCTGCAGGCTGCCCGTCCCCCAGGATCCTAAGGGTGTATGTTGTGAGACATGACCAAAGGAGGAAAGGTGAAGGAGGTCATAGGGAGGCTAGAAGACCAGATTCCTGACTGGCCCCATCATTTATTCAGTCCCGTCCCCCACCCCCCTAAGCAGGAGGACGCCAGGTCCCTCCAGCCCAGGGCTTATAGCAAGAGCCCCTCTAGCACCGGTAGCACCCCAGAGTCAGTGACAACCCCGCCCATCCCCAGGACGGGCCCAGGGGGGCCCAGCCCCCCCAGCGCGCAGACCCGCCCCAGACCCAGAGGCTCCAAAGCCCCGTGCCCGAGACCCCCACACACTCCAGAGGCAGGTCAGTGCAGCCCCAACCCAAAGTCCAACAATCCCCCGTCCTCGCCGGGGCCCCTCCGGCAGCCCCACTGCTAACCCCTCACCTCACCGCTCCCCCACAATCAGCAGCACTCCGAGCACCACCAGCCCCCAAGGGAGCAGGTCCGGGGCAGCAAGGACCCCACCCAAGGACAGAACGGCCCAACAGCCCAGATCCGAAGGTCGGCCCACACCCAGGAGGCAATGCCACACAGGCCAGGTCAGGCCAGAAGACCCCCACCCCCGCTCCCTTCCCTCCCTAGCAGCGAAGCATCCCACACACAAACCCCCACCGTCCCCAAAGAAAAGAGACAGCAATCACCCCGCGACAGCAGCAACAGCCCCTCAGCCCTAGGGAGTCAGCAGATGCAAATAGCCCCTAGGACTCAACACGACCACACTCCAGAGGGCCGCGACGCGACTGCAAGCAACCATCGACACACCCCAAAGCACAATCCCTCCATACACAGGATCCCGGCACAACCACCAAGCATCCAGTCCGGGCACTAAAATCCAGAGGAGACACCCCCCAACCAGCTCAAAAAGGACCAGCCCGCACCCCCAACCCACCCCGTCAACCCCTTCTTCCCGGTCCCCCACCCCTCCAACAACCAGTCGCCAGACCCCTCAGAGAACCGAAATGCAATTATCAGGATGCACAGCATGCACACAGGACAGAGCCGCACACCAGCCCAGTCCCGGCCCGCACCCGATGCCCCCAACCCCCGACAAGCACGCAAGCCAATAATGACCTACAGATGAGCCAATCAACACTACTGAACAGGATTTTAGATGTAATGCCGTAATCATAGTAATGTTGATTATTAAGGTTAAACCCACTGATGAGTAAAAACATGGGCCTGAGCCTTAAAGAGAAACTATTTTACTTCCCATAAACAGCAGCCACTGTGGCCACAAGTGGCAATTACAGCATCATGTTAAATGCTAATATATAGTGTAACAATAACACAAGAAGAGAGTAGTCATAAAGTTGGTGGACTTACTCAGTAGGGTCAGTAACACAAGCTACTAGTCATACCAGACCAAGTAAGGCTGGATTGAAGCAACACACCCCTTAAAGTATTGTACTGAGGAAGTGTGTATTACTTACAAATCCAAATTTTCATTTGAAGGAAGGAGAAAGTGTCATTTCTCCTTTCAGAAGCTTTAATTGTGGTAAACCACAACTGAAATTTTCAGTGTTACTGTTACCCTTAAAAATAAGCAAATATATACTTGATGAACACACAGTATGTTTGAGCTGCCAACGCCATACTCATGTCACAAAGTATTTTTTATTTTGTAGCTGCACAGAGACATATTTTAGTACTATCACCATCATAGCAAGGTGCATTACAAGATTGTATGTACTAAATGTACTACTACTGTAAAACTTATACACTAAATCTTCTATAAGAAAACAGTAAAGTATCCCTTAATACCACAAAATGGTTGTTTGGAGGCACGTTGATTCACTCTCAACGTCATTTACCGTGACAGATTCCTGGTGCAGCCAATGACCAGCACAGGATGACAGCACTGCTGGAGAGCTACGAGGGAAAGCTGCGATCCGAGCTGAAGGATTTCTATGAAAGGATGATGTCACCGGAGAAGAGCCCTCTCAGCTCTGCCGGGGTTAGCTTTGTCGTTGATACAAAGCAACTACAGAAATTACAAATATTAACAACAAGCTTGTACATCTGTTAATACTGCTGTTTCTTACAGTACTTGGCTAGATGTCATGTGCTACACTGTGACCAAAACGGTAAATCATAAGTAGCGCTTTTGTCCCTGTGGTAATTCATTAGTTAATCTAGTGTTAATAAGTGTGCTAATTGTTTGTTTTAACCCTGTGTTTGCTGGCCCTCTGCTGTATGGTTGGCTCAAATAATTTCAAATTGCAAACAAACTGTAGTAAGGCCAGGGTCAAACCTTAAACACATGGCTAAAAAGGGGAGTGTTAGAGGGAGGTTGTTCAAATTCTTGTACCTCATTCGTGTGCAGGTGAAGCAATGGATGAATGGAGCTGCTCTCCACGTCCACACCTTCCTCCACTGGAAGCGTCTGACCAACTCATCAGCTGGAGAAGTCTTAAGTCTGGGCTACCTGCATCGTGTTGACCCTCTGCTCAAGACCTACAGAGAGTATCTGCTCAAAGTGGTACCGCTCTCCTCTTTTATAACATGTCCAATTTCTGCAAGATAAGGGGGAAATTAATGACTTTATTATTCAGTTTACAGTGCAGATATTTACTATGAACTTGACACAGGAACAGTTGTAAACACCCAAGGATAATCAATCCCACAGAGCATTGTTTTCCCCACAGAGACCACTGGAGGTCAGTAGACCTCTGTTTACAGGAGCAGTGATAAAATACAACCACAAGGGAACAATATACAGATGGGAAACAAAGCAGCAGAACAAGTCATCCTACTGTATTATGACTCATAAGCATTAACTTGATCGTATGTTGACTCATACTTTAAACTCGGTTGTCATTAAACCCATAGATACAAATGCGGTGGACAGAATATTTGGATCACCTCTCAGTATAACCACAATACAGTTCAACAGCAGCACAAAGTACGTTCTCCAAAGAGATCATACAGTTGAATCAATGCCTTTTTTTAAAAAACAGTTTAAAACAAAAACTGAGCAGTAACCTTCATGAAGGTAGGATTTATTTGTAGGGCTGTTGTATTAGCCCTACAAACAAATCATATTTCTGATCTTGTCAGCCGATGACCCCTCCCTCTGTCACCAGGTTAAAGTGTTTCCGGCCTTGAGTCCCGCACCCAGCGGGCTGCTGATAGTGGAGCCTCTGCGAAACGTGACCCACAGCGTTCACCTTAGAGTCTGCGAACATAGGACTGTCCAGCGGACCCTGGTGGAGCGCTTCCTGTCAGACCAGAACCTGCAGAGGGGAAAGGAGTTCTTCCAGACCTCCCACAAGCACCATGATGCTCTGATAGCACAGCTAGGACACTTTCAGCTGAGCATGGTTCCAAAACAATTCAGACTGACTGGCTATTATTGATGATCTGGGGCCTCATTACAGAATGTTTTCCTAACTTCTTGTCCTATCTTAACTTAAGTTTCAAAGATTGGAAAAATCCTATCTTCCTATTACAGAAGCAATTCCTAAACTCATGACTGTGTCCTATCATATCTCAGACCTCGTTTCTTATCTTAATCTGGATCCTTGACAACTCACTTCACTTATCCCGGGCTAAATAGCAAGCATTAATCATGTGGTGGAGGAGAGGAAACTCCCAAGTTCTCTTCCCAATTATCATCCCAGGGTAAAGATTTGATTTCTTGCATTAGGACAGTTCTATAAAAGTTAAATTCCCATCCTAAGATGGGAGTTTTTCCTAAATGCAGTTAGGAAACACGTTTCTGTAATATCAAAAATCCAAAATGTCATCCTTTTCTGTACCAAGTTTCAGAGGCCCCTGGCCCCAGATGTTTAGAGTGAATCATAACTGGTTACTTATAGATAAACTTACTGATTACATCACTGCTCACCCATGCCAAAAATCCAAATAATGGATAGTTGCCTCACACAGCATTTCACTGCACAACAAGAAGTTGTTTTATTTAGTACAAGAATGCTGATGTTCAGTTGACTTGCCTGTAAGTTTATGTCCATCACAGCCATATTTCAAAAGAGCCTGCATCTATCTAGTTAACCATTAGTCACAGAAGGCTGCAAACTCCAATTTGTGCCTTCCATGTAATTAAAATGGAGTCACAATTTTTCCCCCTCAACAATAATTTTGTGCAGTTAACAGCAATTGTCCTGGCATAGCTAAGCAGCCGTAGGCATGCAGGCCTGTCAAGCTTTGGATTTCTTTACTTGTCAAAGTGTGTATGCAGGGGGCTGTAATAAAGGTGGTACTATACATGCAAAGAGATTGGATTGTGGGTTTTTTAAATTAAAAACTGTTATGGCAGAAAATTGTGTCCTCTTACATTTAATCTTTTATGTATGTTCTTTTACTATTATTATTATTATATTATGTTTTTATCCTTAACCTTTCCTCTCCTATACTCCTTATGTTGGTCCACATTTACTAGGGTTAAGGTCCGATCTGTGAAATTTATTTTGGTGCTTTCCCTCACTTGTTGTTCCTCTCCTCTCCTGGAATGTTCATTCAAGGCCGAGAGAGGATCTCTGTTCCCCAAAACATAGAAACCTAGACTGTGTAAATGATGATGCATCCCTTTGCTCGGGGCCAGACGTTAGTGACTGTCTTAGGAGACAGAAGCTGTGTTCAGCGGAGCCCTGATCTTCGCTCCGCTCCAGAAAGGAGAAGAACTTGCACGGTGAGAAATGAGTAGATAAATTGTTAAAAATAAAGAGAGTGAGACAGAGTGAAGGAAGTGGTCTTATATCTCGCGCCTGAATGATTTGCAGGACCCTCTATCTGCTTGTAAACTGACAAGTGGGTGGAGAGTGGGACTGGATCAGGGGATCGCGGACAGACGTGCCCTGGTTTTCTCTGTGGTGTCTGAGGGTTTTTGGGGTTTCCAGCTGATAAGTTAGGTTTGCTTTGCATAGCCTCAGACTTAACCGAACTCAGTGGATTCATATATTGCTATGGATCGGAGTACAGACTAGCTAGAGAGAGTAGACTATGGCAAGAGTAAGAGTAAAGTGAAGAGTGAGTCTGAATCCACTCCCAGATTACCTTCACCAGCTATGAAATTGATGACTAAAATGTTAGACATTAATGGAACAATTTGATAAGAGGGTTGAAACAGGTTTCCTGCAAAATGGAATCTTTAGTCTACAACTATTGAACCAGCTAAAGACATGTTTGGAGAGAAAGGAGAGCAGAAATGCAATAGAGCGTGCAGTCCTGTCCAGAGGAAAGAAAAGTAAACAAACTGCAATTCAGATGGGTAGACTAGAAAAAGACAAGAACTGAGGACAAGGAAAGCTCAGAACTGAAAATTAGAATAGATTCATTAAGGATCTGATTAAACTGATTAGCCTATTATTGACTGATCAACTGATTATATCTTCTTTAACCGAGGTACACAAGTCACGGGATCCATTCTGGCTGATCCAGTCCTGGACTCTGTTCCTCCTCCTCCAGAATGCTCCAGTCCGGGATCCAGTCCAGTAAGAAGACCACCGGTATGCCCTGGTGCTGCTGAAATCTTTCAGAACTGAAGAAGTCCTTTGGATAAGGGACAAAACGTCTTCCAGTAGCTTCAACCAAGTCCAGTTGCCCTTCATTTTAACCCTCGTTGGATAGCAAGACCAGACCGAATCATGTAGGACTCTTCTAGTCCACGTGACCATTACCTTAGAACTACAGCGGTCTAAAACAAGACGCAATGAGACCCTACTAGTTCTGAGTTAGTTAGAAACTGCCGCTGCAGTAAGAAAGAGTTGTATTTCACAGCATGTCACATCATGGAAGACAGACAGCACGACAGAGCATGTTTAACACGAAGATAAAGCAAGAAGACAACTGTCAAAAGAAAATGATTGGTGCTGTATCAAGTCATCCTGGTACGAAGAAACAGACAATACAGGGGGGAGAGGGCAAAGCAAGATTTTTGAACAATTTCTAAAGTGCTTTCCCTCTTTTGTTGTTCCTCTCCTCTCATGGAATGTTCATTCAAGGCCGAGAGAGGATCTCTGTTCCCCAAAACATAGAAACCTAGACTGTGTAAATGGTGATGCATCCCTTTGCTTGGGGCCAGACGTTAGTGACTGTCTTAGGAGACAGTTTATTCTCTTTTGTTAAATAAATTTATCAAATACAACGGTTTGTTGTAACTCAATTATTTGCTCAGCCCCTCACCAGGAATATAATTTCCGCCACAAAAACAAGTTTAAGAAATGGATTAAACCGTATGTTCGTCCGCTCTTACATAAGCTGCAAATGTTACCATGCACGGCTAACTAGTGTACCACGTACAGTAGTAACCTAACCCAGCATAATACTTCCAAAGCCTGGGGCATTTTATACTACATTACTTTGTCTGGTTACAGGTTACATTAGCAAAAAGCTACATCCAGGGGGTAAAATTTCTTCACTGTGTGGAAGACCCTGTACATCTGGGGGCCCTAAGCAGGATAATAATGGTGGCCCTGTCTTGCACTGGATATGCAGTGAAGCATAGAACCAGCTACCGTATGCAGTCATTACCCTTACGCATTTTATTTGTATCTCAAGCAACATGATGGGTGGCAGTTCTTTCACTGATATTAAATACATTCACTGAAACACCCAAAGTAAAACTGACTGCACTTGCCATTTTTACTTCTACTTTATCTACTAAATTTTAACAATGGCATCAACTGTGTTTGTCCCATAGTCTATATATAAAGAGGCAACTCAAAACATGCAGTATCAAAACATCTGGTAAAATAGTTAGATATATAAATAGAGATAAAGACATGGCGGCAACAAATAGGAAACTTACAAACTCAAAGATGTGTCAACTTGAGAGTGGCATGATGAAAGCCTGGTATGAAATAATGTAACATTAACTTTTGATTAGTTGTTTTATTCATTTTGAAGTCTATTAGTTTAAGGCATTATCTTGATCATCATAAGGGATTCGGCATTTCTACAAACAAACAGCCATGAAAGTCACCAAAGCTAAACTGCCAGCAAGTCAGTGGTGTCTCAAACACATTATCATTATTCAAGTTTAAAGTTCAACTTACTCTTTTATTTAGCAAATATCTCCTGTGAATGAAATATAACCTGCATTCAATAAAGAAGTAGTCATACATTTGAAATAACACACCTGGATTTTAACATATTGTAAAAAGACTCACAAAAGACTTAAAATTTGCTCAGGGATACAATGGCGGACACAGTTATGGGCAGTGATCCCGGGTCTGTCACACCGAAGGAATGTATCTTATCCATTGCACCATTGCCACCCACATGATGAAATGAAATAAATTCTATGTAGATGTCAAAATGTATCTCTACAATAACTAATCTTCAGTTTCACTGCTCATGGCTAAGCAAGACGATGGGAAATATGTAGTAATATTTATAATTATGTGCAAGACAGACCCTCTTGAACTGTTGTTTATGCCTCTTTTTTGGGGTTGTGTGGAATTCAAGTCTTAATTAAAAGAGACAGACCCCCCAATCCCCCCTGTAATTCGAACATGCTAAGTTGTACCTTCAAACTTCTGCCTGTATTAGCTCTCCAACATATCCCAAAACTGAGAGGAATCGTGGTTTTGACACGGGGCCAATGAAGGTCAAATATTATGCCACCAGACTCCAGTATTACCTACCTGTGTTTCTTGATGTCTTTTGTGGATTATTGAACTATTTTCCTGCTTCCGTGTTTGGATTTGTTTGCTTTATGTTGAATCACTCACCCGTTTTGGACCTATGTCTGTCTCCTCACTCCATGTAAGCCTGTTCACCTCTATTTCCTATAACCCTTTTAGAAATGCTTTGAAGTATCGTTTCATTTCCCCACATACTATCAACACATTGTGCCGTGCACAGAAGTCTCTGCTGGGCTGGGGTTATAATGTTTTACTGTGGTAATAAAGAATAGTGAAGTTATAAGAATGTGCAAGAGCGTCACTTTGTGTTGAAAACTGGTGGTGGGGACATAAAGGCTCAGATTAGGGGCGTGATGATACACTTGTGTCATGAGACCTGACGATGGTCAAAAACTACATGGGAAGATTTTATTTGGTATTTTGAAGAGACATGAAATGCTGAAATATAGTGGGGGGTCTAATGGTCCTCCCCCAGAACTTTTTGAGCATTAAACACTTCATTTCCTGCACTCTGGAGACATTTTCTGCTCCAATTAATGGTGGAAATATCTTCATTTTTATAAAGAGAAATAACATTTTTCTTAAGTTACTTTTTCTGGCACATTTGTTTCTTCTATATTTAAATTGCATTGCATATTTTCTTATTGTGCAAGTAAACCCTTCTCAAAGCATTTTCATTACTTGGTGTTATGATCTATTTTTCAGAACATTTTTGACAAATCTCTTTCAAAAAGTGATGGGGACAAAGTCAGCTATTTCAAAATGTGGTGGGGACATGTCCCCAGTGTCCCCAGTGTAAATGACACCTCTGAGAATGTGACAACAGCCTTAAAGGTAGGCTTGGCCAGGTAGGCTCTCCTTTCCTGGAATGATAGGTCTGTTTGAAGGAAAGAACAGACCGTTCTGTCAGTGGCTGACACATGGATGAATATTATTCCTAATTTGGCCTACTACCTAGCACATAATTTAAAAATGATCAAAATCACTTGCTGTAGCTAATCAAACAGTCTGGGAAGTGACTCCATTTAACATTATTAAAAAACCTAACTAATACCAAATGGCCTTGTTAAGTAGGTGGAGCTATAGACTGCTATACCTTATGTTACATGTGGTGTCGTGAAAATTTGAGGAATCTATTCTATGGTGATTGACAATGAAACATTTTTCAATAAGTCACTTTTTCAAAAGCTGCCAGTTTTGGTTGACAGTAGATGTCCAACAACATGAACATCTGTTGAATAAACAGTCAATGAATTGAGGAAGCTGCTATCACTATAAAGTTGTTCTTTCTAGCCTGCTTGGTTAAAGAAAAGGTTAAGAAAGATTTATTTTTTTTTTAAAAGATTTAAGGTGCAATACTTAGTTTTGTTCCTTTTGACAAACCTCTGCCATTATGAAATCAATGGTCTCAGTATTTGTAATACTGTGAAACAGATCATCAACAAGGTTTTTTTTTGGCCAAAGGATGTGTCTAGAGGGTATGTTTTTTACACTCTCACCTTAAATATACTGTATTTCCTATGTGCATTTTTGTTTGAAAAACATGCATTCTTGAAAGATTGAATCTGAATGGCTGGGAAATGTTAATGCATTAACTAAAAGGGCCTATAATAACACTTCTTTGTCTTATGTCTACACTGTTCCTGCTGTGTTGCTCTATTTTGAAAGTGAGGAATAATGACTGTGAATGTTAAGATACTAGTAGTACCATATACTTTATTGTGTTGTTTTGCTAATTCCAGAAGTGAAAAGATGGACATTAAACCAGGGAATATCCCTGTTCTCTAACTTCATTCATAAACAATACAGCATTTATAATGAAGAGTGAAAACAGTGTTTGTAGCAGAATTGGAGGATCCAGCTCTTAATGTTGGTCACAACTACTGCATCCTTACTGTACAGCTCTTGTTCTGTAGCTGACCTCTAAATCCTGACCTGAGGGCATCAGTAAAGACAGGGGATAAATCCAATATCTGATTATTTTTATTCTAGGTTTCTTAAAGTGATTAGTGCAGGATACAGCTCCCCATAGACCAGTATTGGACTTTGGCGATGCATGGATTCCTGTAGAGGTACTAACTCTATACTAACTAAATAAAAATATCACACTGAGATGAAACAAATATTGCAGCCCCTTTTGCACTATTTCATGGGAATGTACTGTATGCATTTCCCATCACTACTTATCAACAGACACCATTTTATATACTTGTTTCTTGGATTTTTTTTTAAGTGGATGATGTTTTAACATAGTGACTGCACTGGTAAGGTCATCTTTCCTGTTTGTCCTGTTTCAAATTGTACTCCCTTACACTGAGGAATGTAATTAATTAATGAGTAACGTGTTACTGCCCAACACTGAGGGTGATGGGCTTCATAAAAACAGGATCTTGACAGATTATTGTAGAAATGCATTACATTGTACACACTCAAAAATGGAGGTACGAGACAAGAACATTTCTGTACTTACAGGTACACTTTTCAAGAATGTTCCCTCAAAGGTACAATATTGATCTTAAAGAGGCCAGAAGTGCACCTTTTGACTACAGAAAGGGTGCAAAGTGATTTAAAACAAAAATAAGAACAAATCTGTACCTTTTCTGACAAAAAAAGGGAACACCTATAGGTGTTCCCTTTTTTCAGATGGTAAAAGCCACTGTGCAACAGCAAAAGTGACGCACATTGTACTCCTGCAATGCTGCATAAAAAGGAACTCATCTATTGGTCCAATGTTACTGAGGAAATGTGGAAATAAAGAAGTATATATGTCTACTGTCTACTAAGGGATGTCTACAGAACCAATAGTAGAACAACTAAGTGCATGCAGATATCTTCTAAAATGTGTCTTACAAAGTAATTTTAGATATCTATCATCAATAGATATCTTGCAATTATAAGATGGGGCATAATTCATCTTGAATCTTGAGTCTTTTGTGTAAAAAATTGACTGCTGTTTTTATCAGTCACAATGACCTCACTTAAGGAGACACTCTGGATAACCATGGAGGACCTGATGGAGGAGGAATTCAAGCAGCTGAAATGGCTCCTCCAGCAGGCGGACATCATGCACACTCTCATCCCACATCTCGAAGACTACCCAGCCATCCCTGTGAGCCGGCTGGAGAAGGCAGACAGGCAGGACACCGTTGTTCAGATCATTCAGATCTATGGCCCTTATGGAGCTCTGGAGGTGACCAGAAAGGTTTTAATGAAGATCAACAGAAATGATCTGGTGCAGCGATTACCAAACATCACCTCAGCACCAAAAGGTACGTTATGGGAATGGGATATTGATGAGATGTAAAAGCTGTTGACTGGTTGACTTGTGTTGAAGCCCTTGTATCATTTCTCAGTCTTTCATTCTGTCTCTGTTGCTGTAGATGTTGGTGATGTGGGGAGTTCAGAAAACAGAGAATCTTCCCCAATTAAATCACAAGCCATGTCTCCTCAACTTTTCCCTACAGACAGTCAAAGTGAAGGTAAAACTTGTTTGATGAACTTATGCTGCCACGTCAGCTGTCTTGCTGTCACACATGTTACCCATTATCTTTGTGTGGATTCATTCAAAATTGCCTCAAAATGAACCAAGTGTTCAGGTTTTTGGGAAACTGTCAGCTCCTAGTAATTCTGGTGTGTCTTATAATGCAGCTTAACTCATTTCTGTCAATTTTAGATTATACTTAAAGTGAGAATATTAATATTGTTATTATAGATTCAACTGGTTAACACCTCAAAAAAACACCTTTTAGAATAATCAAACAGCGCCTGAAATATTATTTGATAGTGGAATTTATTTTTTGCCATGCTAGCAGCATGGCTTTATGGATGGCAATGTGTGTATGCACATTTGTCTGTAGTGTTCAGTAATTTTGGTCCAGAATGAAATTTCTCAACATGTGCTGGATGGATTGGCACAGAACGAACAGACATTCATGATTTTCACAACTAGTATCCTAATGGCTTTGGGGGAAAGTGTATTGGATGGATTTCCATGAAAGTTGGTACAGATGCTCATGTCCTTAGGATGAATTGTTGGTTATGTTGGTGACATTTCATCTACCGCCATCATCAGATCTAAATTTCAATTTGTCCAATATTTTGGTTTCCCATTAGCCTCATAAAACTTTGTTTTTAGAGGAGAAACCGTCTGAAAGTGTGTGTCGTTACTCTCATTTGTTTGATTTGTTGGTGGTCCTAATCCCTCTCCATGACAGCAGGCTTTTTGCTCCTCCTTTAAGTGTGGGCATTTAAAAAAAAAAAAAAAAAAAAAAAAAAAAATATATATATATATATATATATATATATATATATATATATACACACACACACACACACACACACACACACACACACACACACATATATATATATATATATAAAATAAAGGGAACACTTAAACAACACACTGTAACTCCAAGTCAATCACACTCCTGTGAAATCAAACTGTCGACTTAGGAAGCAACACTGATTGACAATCAATTTCACATGCTGTTGTGCAAATGGAAAAGACAACAGGTGGAAATTATAGGCAATTAGCAAGACACCCCCACTAAAGGAGTGGTTCTGCAGGTGGTGACCACAGACCACTTCTCAGTTCCTATGCTTCCTGGCTGATGTTTTGGTCACTTTTGAATGCTGGCGGTGCTTTCACTCTAGTGGTAGCATGAGACGGAGTCTACAACCCACACAAGTGGCTCAGGTAGTGCAGCTCATCCAGGATGGCACATCAATGCGAGCTGTGGCAAGAAGGTTTGCTGTGTCTGTCAGCGTAGTGTCCAGAGCATGGAGGCGCTACCAGGAGACAGGCCAGTACATCAGGAGATGTGGAGGAGGCCGTAGGAGGGCAACAACCCAGCAGCTGGACCGCTACCTCTGCATCTGTGAAGAGCACAGGGCGCCAGTGGCGAATTTGCCAATCTTGGCAATTGTTGGGCTGTAAGCACAACCCCCACCTGTGGACGTCGGGCCCTCATACCACCCTCATGGAGTCTGTTTCTGACCGTTTGAGCAGACACATGGACATTTGTGGCCTGCTGGAGGTCATTTTGCAGGGCTCTGGCAGTGCTCCTCCTGCTCCTCCTTGCACAAAGGCGGAGGTAGCGGTGCAAGACAATGCTAGACATCATGTGGCTGGAGTGTGTCAGCAGTTCCTGCAAGAGGAAGGCATTGATGCTATGGACCGGCTCGCCCGTTCCCCAGACCTGAATCCAATTGAGGACATCTGGGACATCATGTCTCGCTCCATCCACCAACGCCACGTTGCACCACAGACTGTCCAGGAGTTGGCGGATGCTTTAGTCCAGCTCTGGGAGGAGATCCCTCATGAGACCATCCGCCACCTCATCAGGAGCATGCCCAGGCATTGTAGGGAGCCTCATTTTGACTTGTTTTAAGGACATTACATCAAAGTTGGATCGGCCTGTAGTGTGGTTTTCCACTTTGATTTTGAGTGTGACTCCAAATCCAGACCTCTATGGGTTGATACATTTGATTTCTGTTGATAATTTTTGTGTGATTTTGTTGTCAGCACATTCAACTATGTAAAGAAAGGAGTAATTAATGAGATTATTTCATTCATTCAGATCTAGGATGTGTTATTTTAGTGTTCCCTTTATTTTTTTGAGCAGTGTATCTAGAGAGAGAGGGCATTCAGAACACGAGGAAACACTTTTAGACCTGCTTGGAAAAAAACATTGAACAACCAAGAATAGTGTGTCATCCATGTGTTTGTTCTGTACAGATTTCATGGTGCCAATACCAAAGCCTGCACAGCCAATCACATCATACCAACAAATGCTCCAATCCAATCTTCAGAATCGGTTTGTGTGTGTACAAGAAGGACTATCAGAAATGGAGGATAAAAAACTTCTGGATGATATTTATACAGAGCTCTACATCACAGACGGAGGCGACATGCAAATTAACAGGCAACACGAGGTCATGCAGATCGAGAGGGCATCAAGAAATCTAGCAGCAACCGAGGTATCAGTCAAACCCAGCGATATCTTCAAACACCATTCTGGAAAATACAGACCCATAAGGACCGTGCTGACCAATGGGATTGCAGGAATTGGGAAAACATTTCTTGTGCACAAGTTCATCCTCGACTGGGCTGAAGGAAGAGCCAATCAAGATGTGCATCTCATATTCCCCTTCACCTTCCGCCAGCTGAATTTACTGAAGGGAAAAAGGTTTTCTCTCGCCAAGCTAATTCATAAATGTATCATGGAAACCAAGGAGATCACAGAGGAGGCTCTTAATTACATTTTCACAGCACTACAGATGTCAGGAAACACCAACTATGACAAGAGTAAAGTTAAACTTCTCTTTGTGTTGGATGGACTAGATGAGAAACGCCTTCAACTAGACTTCACTGCCAAAGAAAAAAACACCATTGATGTGACAAAGTCGGCTAGGGTAGAAGGACTGCTGACGAACCTCATTAAGGGGACTCTGCTTCCCTCTGCTCGTCTCTGGATAACTACACGACCTGCAGCAGCCAGTCAGATCTTTCTAGAATTTGTTGACATGGTGTCAGAGGTGAGAGGGTTCAATGACCCACAGAAGGAGCTTTATTTCACCAAAAGATTCAGTCATGACGAGCAGGCTGCTAGCAGAATCCTCTCCCACATCAAGACATCACAAAGCCTCCACATCATGTGCCACATACCAATCTTCTGTTTGATCACTGCGACCGTTCTGGAAGATGTGTTGAAAAGCAGTGAGAGAGGAGAGCTTCCCAAGACTCTGACCGAGATGTACACATACTTCCTGGTGGTTCAGATGAGGCAGACAAAAGAGAAGTATGGCACAAAAAAGAGCATCCAGTATATTCAGTCACTTGCAAAACTGGCTTTTAACCAGCTGGAGAAGAGAAACCTGATTTTCTATGAGGAAGACCTAAAAGAGAGTGGGATTTATCTCAATGAAGCATCTGTGTACTCTGGGGTGTTCACACAGATCTTTAGAAAGGAGAGCTGGAGGAAGAAGGACAAGGATAAGGGCAGACTGTTCAGTTTTGTCCATCTGAGCATTCAGGAGTTTCTGGCTGCTTTTCATGTGGCGCTGTCGCTCATTAACAGCAACAAGAATGTGATGGCTGAATCCCAACCAACGTTTAAAAGTCTGGGGATGCTTCTCAGCAAAACATCTGTAACAGAGGTCCATAGGATTGCTATCGACAAGGCCTTAGAGAGTCCAGATGGACACCTGGACTTGTTTCTCCGTTTCCTGTTGGGTCTTTCATTGCAGAGCAATCAAGATCTCCTGGCAGACCTACTAAAACAGAGAAGAATTATCTCAAACAGCAATCAGGAAACAAGCACGTACATCAAGGAGAAGATCAAGAACAATCCCTCTCCAGAGAGAAGCATCAACCTCTTTCACTGTCTGAATGAGCTGAATGATCATTCTCTGCTGGAGGAGATCCAACAGTACCTGAGTTCAGGATGTATCGCCAAAAGATATCTCTCTCCTGCTCAGTGGTCAGCTCTGGTCTTCATCTTAAGGTCGTCAGAAAAACAGCATGATGTGTTTGACTTAAAGAAATACTGTGCCACAGAGGAGGGCCTTCTAAGGCTGCTGCCAGTGTTTCAAGCCTCCAGTACATATCTGTATGTAGATGTATCACAGTAATAATATCAAATGTTATGAATTCAGTGCAAGAATGGGAATAATTTAAAAAATCTTGTCTTCCACTATTAATCTTCATCAGGCTGAGTGGCTGTAATCTGTCAGACAGAGGCTTTAAAGCCATCGCCTCAGTTCTCAGCTCCCATCAATCTAATTTGAGAGAGCTGGACCTGAGCAGCAACAACCCTAATGATGCAGGAATGAAACTGCTCTCTGCTGGACTAGAGAATCCCCACTGTAGACTGGAATCCCTCAGGTCAGCTCACTTTATTTAATTGTGATTTCAAAAAATGGTCATTTTTTTTATCATGTCTGTTTGCTCTAAATTCAAGATTTAGCTAGAGCTCCATCTGCTTACATACAATGTTTAAAGGCTAAAGGCTAAAGTTATATATTTTTCTTCAACAAATACAATGAAAAGACTGAACTCATGATGTGCTTGTTGGTAGTGAATTTCCATCATTAATATCATCGCCACAGATAAAAACCCATCAGACTTCCAAACCTGAAGTAGCTAAACCTATCTAAAGCAACACTTGTTAAAATGTTTTTTACCTTCTTCAGGTTGAGTGACTGTAACCTCGCAGAGAGAAGCTGTGAAGCTCTGGCCTCAGTCCTCAGCTCCAAGACCTCTAATCTTCGTGAGCTGGACCTGAGTAACAACGACCTGCAGGACTCAGGAGTGAAGCTGCTCTCTGCTGGACTTGGCAGTCTACACTGTACACTGGAGTCTCTCAGGTCAGAATTCAGTGCTGTGAACACCACAAACAGAGGCAGAGTCAGTTTTCAAATGAACTTGAATCCAGCTGGCTTAGCCTTCATCCAAACAACTTTGTAGAACAAATGTTATGTTTATTCGTGGTGCCTCCACTGCCCCAGCGTCCTCAGCCGGAGTAACAAACTCCCATTGTATTACATTGATAGCAAAAATCTTTTTAGTGAACATTTTAAGGCCTGGACAAATACAACAAAAACTATTAGGCACAATAGAGTTTGTTGTGATTTGTGATCACCTGCAATTATCACATAAAATACAAAATAGGGTAGATATTAAAAAATATCTTATCTTTTGTAAAAAATCTTCTACTTCCATGTTCTTTAAGGCTGAATTTGTGCAAGCTGTCATGGATGAGCTGTGAAGCACTGGCCTCATCTCTTAGTTCACAGTCATCTTGTCTGAAACAACTGGACCTGAGTAACAACGACTTGCAGGATTCAGGAGTGAAGGCTCTCTCTGCTGGACTGGAGAGTCCACAATGTAGACTGGAAACCCTCAGGTCAGAATTCCTGAATTAGTTTCATAATTGGTAAAAATGTGCAGTGAAAATCAGCAAAACACTTGTATGTGTTTGTGTGTAGGCTGTCAGGCTGTCTGGTCACAGAACAGGGCTGTTCTTTTCTGGCCTCAGCTCTGAGCTCCAACCCCTCACATCTGCGAGAGCTGGACCTGAGCTACAATCATCCAGGAGACTCAGGAGTGATGCTGCTCTCAGCAGGACTGAAGGATCCAAACTGGAGACTGGATACTCTCAGGTATGGGCAGCCAGCAGGAAGATGGCGAACAGATCCCAAACACTGTCCCTGTCACTGTGTCAGGTTAAGGAATATTATTAAAACATTATAAATGATAAGTCTTTTTCCAGGGTGGACCCCAGTGGAGTGCGCTGGTTGAAATCTGGCCTGAAGAAGTGTAAGTGTATATTTAGTTGCATAGATTTCTGTTTAAACTGACCCTTCATGAAGGTGTAATTTGTTCATTCAATCCAAGGTCATATGGGAACCATAAAAAGAAAGCGTGTCACCTGAACACAGCAGGTCTGAAACTTCTGCTTGTATTTCTGACTTATTCTTTCCATCAGATTCCTGTGAACTCACACTGGACCCAAACACAGCACACCGAGACCTCATTCTGTCTGATGAAAACAGAAAAGTGACACGGGCGAGCGAGGAGCAGCCATATCCAGATCACCCTGAGCGATTTGATGACTGGTTCCAGCTACTGTGCAGAGAGGGTTTGAGTGGTCGCTGTTACTGGGAAGTAGAGTGGGATGGAAAGACTTGGGTTGCAGTGACTTACAGAGGAATCAGTAGACGCGGAGAAGCTGTTGACTTCTGTCTTGGATGGAATGAAAAGTCCTGGAGTCTAGAGTGCACTGATGACGGATACTATACTTGTCACAATAAAATTCTAACAGAAATATATTTCCACCCCCTTGACTCTACCAGAGTAGCGGTGTATCTGGACTGGCCTGCCGGCACGCTGTCCTTTTACAGAGTTTCCTCGGACACATTGACACACCTCTACACCTTCTACTCCAGATTCACTGAACCCGTCTACCCTGGGTTCTGGATTGGGTTAAACTGCTCAATAACCCTGTGTCAGATGGGGGAGGGAGATCCAAACACTTAAACTGCTGACTATAGACAGCTGCTTTAAGGAATAGTTTGACATTTTGGAAAATATTCGCTTTCTTGCAGAGTGTTAGAAATGAAGACTGGACTCTATGACTAGCTGACAGTTAGCTTAACTTAGCACAAAGGCTGGAAACAGGGGGAAACAGCTGGACTGGGTCCTTCCAAAGGTAACTTAATCCACCTGCCAGCTTCACATAATAAATAAATATGTAAGAAGATCTGTATTAGTGCTACATTTTCCATGCAATGAGACTGTGCAATGTCACACAAGCATATGTCTAAATGTGCACACACGGTTTTTCTAAGACAAGCAAGGTGTGATATCGTGATGGGGAACTGAAAAGGTAAGGGTAGCATTGTTGTTATAGGTTGTATTGTATGGTTAGGTTTAGATCAAGGTTTGGGTTAAAATAATTAGGTCAACGTTGACTTTTTGTTTTACACGGGGCAGCAGCTTTCTGGTTTCTGAAGGTGCAGAAATAATGCCAACAAATCTCACAAGAGTTTTGCAAGTCAAGGGTTACCATCTAGACACGACCGACCATGAGGCAAGGAGGACAGATTTTTTATTTAAGTAAATAAGAGATGTTATATTTCTTATACAATAGAGAATGTCAAAATATCATATGAGAAATAAGATGTATAGTGTTTACTTAGGACCTGAATGTCACAAGGGACATATAGAAATTAATTTGCTTTTAGTGTTTATAGTTTGTGTAATATTTGTGGTTTAAATCATCAAAATCATGACTTTTCCCGATGTTTAAAGGTACAAAGAAATCCAGCATTTAACCTACAAAGCTGTCAAGGGAGAGGAAAGGTTTCAGTCATATAAAAGGGTGCGAAATATTTTGTTGTATCCTGCATGAGTCCTGGGTGCTCAGTGCAGTGTGGAAGCTACTGTGGATCCTGGGTTTCTTTGGATTCTTGGATTCTTGTGTACCTCAGATACAGTCAAAGGATGTATTAGATGCTCTTCACCACCAGATGACGCTGTCATCTAAAGATCTAAAAAGGTGTAGGCGAGCAACTTTTAATGGAGGCAAGCCACCAAACACCGCATTCAAACTTGTGAATGTTTGGTTCGAAATGTTTTGAAGTGATAGATTTTTTAAACAACTGTTAATATTAATTAAGTATTAGTGAACAAACAGAAGAATCTTCAAAAAAAAATATTATTATGTAAAACTCTTGTGTAAAATACTCTTTGTAGCACATTACACTGGAACATTTTGTCCTCTTTTTCTGTCTCTGCATTTTAATGCATAATCAGTTAATTATATATAGGCTATATACATCTAGACACACATGTATAAAATCATTTTATTATTTTTTAAAGCAATATATACCCCTTAGGATGATATAATCACTGGCCAATGGTACATGGTAAATTCAACAGGTTGCATTTTCATTCAACTTAGAAGGACATTTTGATCACATGTCATTACCTTCTTATCAACTGTAGGCTACATGCCTCACTGGGTTCCTCGGTCAATGGCCTATCTTTCAATTTTCATGTAACATTGTAATTATCACCTTCACATGTGGAACAAAAAACTGAGAAGACTGCTCTAGCATAAAGTCTGGAGGAGAAACTGGCCTGTCAATCAGCATATGCTTTGTGATGTGCATTCACCCCATGCAGGTAGAGGCCAGCGAAGCAGGATACTTATTTCACTGCGTGATGCACACTGTCTCTGTTTTTCACAATACCACAGCAGGGATTTGCCAGCACTGGTGGATGCAGGCAGTAGGAGTGCATTCTGGTTAGCCAGACAAAGTTAGGGTCAATAGTGTCAACTAATTTCAACTAATCCAGTTGTAGTTCTGTTTGAAAAGTAAATGTTTGCAACAAAGCTTTCTTATATTCTTACAATACACAACTTCAATCACATTTGGTTTCAGAATGTGCTGACTACTGAGAACTGTAGTCTACATTAGAGTCTGCCGCACACACATGACAATGTCTCATTACTTTTCAGGTAACCTAATAGGTACTTTTTTATAGTAACAATCAATCAGATTATTATGTGTAATATGAAAGGTGTCGTTTATGTTGATCACCCTGCAGCAAGTTATCGTCCACATATTTGCAACAGCTCTACAGAACTTTTTAGCCTCTTTTAACTGATTGTTTTGGTTTTTCCACCATGCAAACTCTGCTCTCATCAACCCCTTATCCAGCCACAGCAGGCTGCTCATTTCAGTGAAAAAGACTCTGACAAACCGACTGTACACTACCTGCCCATAATCAAGCAGCAGACAGACAAAGTTAGCTACTAGGTGCTGAACATAGTGAAGCATTTAGCAGCTAAAGAATAGGTACTTCTGTTAAGAGATGGTGGAAACCAAATCAGTGCAACAGTAAAAGTAGAGTAAATATATGCCAGATGACCAGAACCACAACTCCAAATGAATGCTAATGATGCACCGCTAACACAGTAATATGTGTTCATGTGGTGATAATGTGTCATTGTTGTGTTTGCAACCTTTTTTTTGCCAAAACAAATGCTACTTCAAATACTCCCAAGGTAACCCCGTTAAGCAATCACCTAGGTACACCTAACCAAAGCTTCTACCACTGCTACCAAAAGTACTGCTCTCACTACACATTCTCTTTTTACATATGTTTGGCCCAGACACCTGCACCATCAACATCCCGGTTCAAGCACTCGGCAGGTGGTCTATGTTAAAGATGAGAGGAGATGGACTCTCACTGGTGTGTTTTACATCGATGATGCTTGGTGCACAAACTCAGTCAAGATGGACTCTGTTTCCCAGATGTCAGACTGTTTATTGTGAAGATGAAACTTTCATAGTATCATCTGGTTGCTGCTGTTTATATTCACCCCAGATGCAAATTCAGAAAATGCAATGCAAAAAGTGGAATGTTCGGGGTGTATACATGTAGGTGGGTAGGTTTATTGTCGGAATATAACAAGTTATAGAGTGAAATTGACTTTGTAACTCCCTTCTGCTACATAGCAGACAATATACCTTAATACAGAATCAATTGTAAAAAATGGTAAAGTCTGGTTGTGTGGCAGCAGAAACTTCCTTCCAGAAACTCTTCCCAGAAGGCAGCAGGGTGAACAGGCTGTGGCTGGGTGGGTACTGTCCTTTAGTATCCTCTGGGCTCTGTGTAGGCACCACACCTCACCGATATCACTGATGCTCGGGAGATGGGTACCAATGATCTTCTGAGCAGTTTTAATCACCCGCTGCAGAGCCCTCTGGTCCTGGACCGGAGGGCTTATGATGTTTCCAGCCAGGATGCTTCTATTGCTCTTCTGACAAGGTGACAAGAACTTGGCGTGGAAATTTCTTAAGCTTCCTCAAGAAATATAGTGGTTTCTGAGCTTTCTTCACCAGCATGGAGATGTGAGATGACCATGTCAGGTTCTCCGTGATGCTGATTCCCAGGAACCTGAAACTGTTCACCTGCTCCACCTCAGCTCCCCTGATGTAGACAGGAGTGTGTGTCTTTATCTCCTTTCTAAAATCAATGATCAGCTCCTTGGTTTTGCTGACGTTGAGCAGTAGGTTGTTCTCTGAGCACCACTCTTTTAAGATTAAGAATTTCCTCCCTATATGAAGTCTCACCGTTGTTTGAAATCCGGCCAATGATGGTGATGTCATCCACAAACTTCCCAACAGAGTTCTTTCCATGTTGGGGGATGCAGTCGTGGGTGTACAGCGTGAACAGGAGGGGGCTGAGCACACATCCCTGGGGGGCTCCAGTGTCGAGCACTAGAGTGGATAAGGTGTGTCCACCAATCCAAACTGACTGGGGTCTGTTTGTGAGGAAATCCAATATCCAGTTGCAGAGTGTTGAATTTAAACCCAGAATGCTGAGTTTGCTGATCAGCTTCATGGGGAGATTGTGTTAAGTGCTGAGCTGAAATCCGTAAACAGCATTCTGATGTAGGTGTTGTTTTTCTCAAAGTGTGTGAGGGCTGAATGGAGGGCAGTGGAGATAGCATCCTCTGTGGATCTGTTGGTTCTGAAAGCAAACTGGTGAGGGTTCAGGCCGGCTGGGATGTTGTTTTTTATGTGCTGAAGTTTCTCAAAGCACTACATCAGAATGGGGGTGAGTGCCACATGGTGGTAGTCATTCAGACAGCAGGTGGGAACCCTCTCCCGAGGCAGTGAGATGTTGAAAAAGTCAGTAATAACATCAACTACCTGATTGGCACAGGTTTTTAGTACACGACGAGGGATGTTATCAGACCCAGCTGATTTACTCATTTTCACTCTCAGCAGGACTCTCCTCACATCTGCTGTGAAAAAGTGACTGACAAAGTGAGCATAAAAGGTGATAAGTTCATCAGGTAATGTGGCCTCACACATGATGGGGGAGCACCAGCTTTTGTAGCCTGTGATGTTTTTGATGGCCTGCCACATATGTTTGGTGGTGCTGGTGTTAAGGTCTCTCTCCAGTCTCTGCTGATGTCTCCACTTCGCCTCCTTGATGTCAGCTTTCAGTCTCGCTCTGGCGGAGCTGTAAGCTTCTTTATCACCCGACTGAAAAGCAGCTTTTTTGGCTCTGGATGGATCCCTCACCTCTCCATTCATCCAGGCCTTCTGATTGGGGGAATGATTTTATTGTTTTAGTGGTCACCACATCATCAACACATTTGCTGATGTCACTGATGGTGTATATTCCTCAAGAATGATGTGGCTCTCCTGGGCGGCGGCCTCTCTGAACATACTCCAATCTGTGCTCCCAATATAGGCCTGCGCTTAATTATATTTTGTGTGTGTGGCATGAAAGAATAAATTTTGTCCTTAGGTGTGAGTGGTTTTTGTATATGTGTGGCGACCTGTCCGGGGTGTGCCGCGCCCGATTAACTCCAGCCACGACCCCGTACAGTTGATGATGACTGAGTCAGTGTGAATTAAAATGTCCTTGTATTCTCTCTACTTACAATTTAAGAGACACTGGTGAAAAAGGCATGGTTATCCAGTTTAGTACAGTATGTGCATGTTATCTGCAGAACCTGTTTACTTCATATCTGCTCAGGATCTCCTTGTCCTCCACTCACTCATCAGTCTTTCCCCACCTTCCTTTCTTTCATTGTTGATACAGCCGTGTGCATTTCACCTGATAAATCCAATCAATCCTCTGCCACACACCATGTAATTCCCAAATAAATAACACTTCCATCCTCATCCAGAGTCCTTTATGAAAAAGACGGGGCAAATACAATCAATCAAATGATGCCGTTCTGGACGTCTTTATTCATTAATAATAACTGTAATGACAGTATGTAGAGCAGATGTTCACCAAACAGTCTTTCGCAATCATCAGGCTAATATGAAGGCTATCAGTTAGTAAGGGCTTAATGGGATACGATGCATGGCATGAGCTCTTAACTGTGTGTGGTGAGGCCCAGCTCAATCTCTCGCACAGACCTCGCCAGTAGTAAAACAAAACAAAAAAAGAGAGAGAGAATAGTTTAACATTTTGGGAAATGTGCTCATTTGCGCTCTTTCCAAGAGTTAGAAGAAGATTTAAACTACACTCAGCTGGTTAGCTTAACTTAGTATAAAGAACAGGGGGTTCACCTCTAAAGCCCACTTACAAACTACTTTATATTTTATTGATTTAAGCCGTACAGAAACCAAAGTTTAAAAACAACAATTTACTGATTTACAGGGGGTAATGTGCCAGACTATTTCCTGGCCAGGACCAGTAAAGTCCTGGAGTCTCTGCTGGTTGCCTGGCAAGTGGTCCGAGCGGTTATTGTACTGATTAAACAAACGTGATATAACATGTTAATTAGCTTGTAAGCGGTTATTGTTATCTTCCTAACTGTGTCCAGTCTTTGTGCTAAGCTAAGCTAACCTGCCGCTGGCAATAGCTTCGTGTTTACCGCACAGACATAAGAGTGGTATCAATCTTCCCATCTAACTCCCCTCTAACCACAGAGTGAATAAATGCATTTCTCACAATGTCAAACTATCATTGGGCAGATCATACAAAGTACAGCTGAAGTAAAAAAGAAGAATGCATGTAATTACTTGTTCAATTACTCTCAGCCTTCCACTTTCGATGGTGTAGAAACAATTCTCTGAACAGTATTGAGAGCATTAGCAAAAGCATAGCAGCATTTGTTTGATGGAAGTGATCCTGAGTCATGTTACAATGGGGAAATTAGCGGCATGCATCTCTTCTTCTGACACAAATTCAATACACATCTTAATACATTTCAGCAAATCTAAGCTACATTTAAACAAGCCAGTGTCTCAGTAGGATTCTTTCCTGTTTGAATCCAGTAACACATGGCTGTAAATTCTCATGTATCATTAGATTATATGCAAGCTTGCACATGCAGCCACACTTTCATTGCACAGAAGCACATGCTAAATATACACACGCGCACAAATGCCCTCACACAACACACTGCACACAGACACGTCTCTCTCTCTAAGCCCCCAGCAAGGCAAAGGTCTGCAGCAAATGATTGAGTGATCTAATTACAAAGTGGGGGAAAGCATCCAGTCGTATTTACTACCTCTTTTCATTACCTGTAGTGGCGCTGCTCAACGGGAGGGATTTCAGCTGAGACCTTTAAAATATGGAGCAAATAATTCAACATGGGTTCAGTGTTTTTGGGCTTAAAAGCTGGGATGAAGTTTAAGAAAGATACACGCATGCATAGAGTTGCATACTCTCCTCAGGGAGCAATAGTTGTTGCTGCCATTTCATAGCCTGAGAGCTAGCTTTTATGCCTTTGCAATATACATTTTTAATGTGTCTGTACCTATAACGATAAATTTTTGAGCAGAAAGGAAGCTTAGTTATACAATGACCCATAATGGTGAAATTACAGTTGGCCACAACCCTGAAATCTACAAAAAAATATATTAGATTTTGCAAAATCCCTCTGATGTGTCACTTTTTGGCATAAATTCTTTGCTCATTTA